TATGTGTAATGTAACGTTTTCTGTAGTCACAGTGCAAGTATATAGTACATTATTTTTATGAATCATGTGAAAAGTAAAATGCAGGGATGATACACATTTATCCCTAAACACTTCCATGTGTATTTCCTTAAGAAAAGACACTCTCTCAGATGTGGCTTACCATACAGTTTTCAAAATCAGAAAATTGACATTGGTCTGTAGATCTTTTCCAATATACCAGTTGTCCCACTGTGTCCTTTAGTACAAAAGAAAAAACATGTTTGTTTTGTTTTTCCTGGTCCAGGATCTAATTCTGGAGTACATGTTAACACTTGGTTGTCTCGTTGCTTATAGTCATCTTTAATCTAGAATAGTTGCTCAGTCATTCTTTATCTTTTACAACATTGACATTTTTGAAGAACACAGCCATTTATTTTGTAGCATTTTTCCCAGTTTGGGTGTATTTGATTTTTCCTTAAAAGACTAAGTGTATACAGTTTTGATCAGAAGTACTGTATGTCATACTAGAAAGCTGTAAGAGGCTCTTTCCTCCAAAAATACTTTGTTACCAGTTTTAATATTATCATGTGGAGAGCAAGGTCAGAGATGCTCAGATTTGTCAGTATATTACAGATGCTCGTTATTTATTCTCCAGTGGATTTTTCTTAAATTGTAGCCTTTAAATTATCTTCTTTAAAGTGCCAGTATATACTTATTTGCCAATACTGGGGTTTGAACTCAGAACCTTATGCTTGCCAGGCAAGCACTCTGCAACTTGAGCCCCCGCCCCAAAGTGGAAATTGTTGAGTAAAATTGGGATGGGGATAAATTTAAAAGCTTAAGTATAGGGTTTGAATGTATCTTATGTAAATGAACCTGGGTATTGCAGTACAAAACAGGGATTGGGTATTTAAGCCCTTGGCCAAGAATGGTAAATTATTTATCCCTGCAGTACTTCTGCCAGGCCACTGAAATCAATATACTGTTCTCCTTTTAGAAGTTTTACACTTTTGCAAGACAAACATTCAAATATTAAATTAGGAGATAAGTGAGAGTCCTATTAGGTAAAAGCAAATAGACATTTAACTTTATTAGTATAATATTCACTTTTTGTTCCATTGTTTAAAATACCAATCCATTCTCTATCCGTGTCTTCTTTCTGCTGCCTCTGAATTATCAAGACACAGAGTTTGTAACTGATAGTATCATTTATTTGGCTTCTATGTTAACAATACTAAAGACAGTTCTTGGTATAGGCAAGGTAGCTTGTTGTGTATTTCTCATTCCCCCACTTCCCACTTCACTTAAGATGATCTCTTGTTCTGCTCTAGAAATGTTTATAGTCACTGGGACGAGTTCAGACTCTGGCTTTGCCACGTGGTAGTTTGTTAAGTGATATATTTGTGATTGTTCATTGGTAAATGAAAGGGAATAAGTCACTTTGATCTAGAAAAACAGAGTAGTCTAGGAAAGTTGCTCAGAATAAGTCAGAATAAAATAAATGGGACTTAATATTTTTATGTATTTGTTTGGGTATTTATTATTTGTTTTTTATTGTTGTGCAGGGTGGAGGTACATTGTGGCATTTACAGAAGTTCTTACAATATATCAAATATACTTGAACTCACCCCTTCCAATTGTTTATGTATTTCTTTCTTTATTTCTCAGACAAGGTTTTACTATGTAGCCCAGGCTGGCTTAAACTCCCGATCTTCCTCGCTTAGCTTCATGAGTGCTGGGATTACAGGCGTGCACCAACACTCTTGGCTTTGTGTGTTTTATTTTTATAGTGTTTCTTTAAACATTAGTGTTGTGCCACTCCTATTTTACATCAAATAGTTATTACATTTTCATTAAAATACATATTTCTAAATAACCTCTAGATTATTAGTTTTTGGCATGAACCTGTTATTGCTAAGTAATTTAAGAATGTAATTTAAAATCACTTATTCTGAAATCATCTATTTGAAATTATGTATGAGATTTTTAAAGTTTGCAGTGCTTTGGAAACATTTCAAGTGCTTCTTTGCTTATATATCTTCATTATAAGCTATAGCATTCATCATAGAGTTTTTAAGGATGCTAACAGATACATAATATTTAAAGATGATTAGTCCAAAGTTACTCAGCTTAGAGAACTACAATCATGGCCTTTTGTTAAGTTTGTTGTTCTTTTATTTATAGGATAGTTGGTTCCACTAGAACTTCTCTGTTTTCATAGCCCTGTTCACATTCCCATAAAAATACATTGTGTGTACACATACATTTGTATGTGCATGCTTATTTAGAAAAGTAATTTTCACTGTAATATACATTTATCTGTTATTATAAAGTAGAAAATGAAAGTTCATTCTGTTTTTTCTAACAATTCTACATTGTATTCCCCTGATTCATAGCCATTTTAAACATATTGTCTTTTATCTGATCATATTTTTTTTCTGTATTTACAAGCATACATATTAAACAATTTCTAAATCAAAGCAAATTTTACAAAATAATTTTATATTAAACATCCTGATGGCCCTTTTATGTGGTAGCTAATTTTCTGTATCATTGTATATTGATTTACCATATACTGATATCATTATATACTGAGCTGTCATACATATGATAGATAGATAGATTTGCACTGCTGGGAGTCGAACCCAGGACTTTAAGCATGCTAGGCAAGCACTGTACCACTGAGCTGTACCCTCAGCTGTGTCTTAAGTGCTGTATTATACCTGATGGTATAAATGTACATAATTTAGTTAACTTATTTCCAATGGATGAGAGGTTTCTGTTAACTTGAACTTCTCACTGTTACAAGTAATATTTCTATGAAATTTTTAAGTCTTGGTGCACTTGCTGAATCAGTTCTTAGATGTAGAAACCTTGTATTTTGGTAGGTCTTTTCAAATTGCCTGTAGAAATGGACTTATCCTCCATCCCTTCCTTGGTTAAAGCCAATAATTTTTAGTTTTGAATTAGGGTATTTCTTACTTAGCCTGTTCTTTATGTTTCCAAATTCTTTTTCTAAAATTAATGTGATACATTGTTTTCAGCAAATTCATATCATAACATTTCTTCTTTTCAGAAGTAGGTATAGGGCTGGAGGAATGGCTCAATTGGTAGAGCACCTGCCTAGCAAGCCATGGGGCCCTGAGTTCAAACCCCAGTACTGCCAGAAAACAAAACAAAATCCCTAGAAGTAGGTATAAAATGCCTAACTTGGAATATATAGCTGTAATTCTCATTGTGAAACCAAAGCCTATTTCACATTACAGTTTCATGTTCTTGAGGAGATTTTCTTAATCTCACCTGTTTCTAGACAGTATAATCCCAAGATTGTCTAATAACAAATTAACGGTAGTTATATGACTAAAACTCATTTTTAAGTGGTATGAAGTTGGAATTTCAAAAAATGTAATTTGGGTTGTACCTTGAAGTCAGGGACAGTATTTTTCTTAGTATCTTTGCATTTCTTAACACTATGTAGAAAAATACCATTTATATAAAAAAATTCATAATAAATCTCTTTGGTTGAGTTTGATTTGTGCTGAACAGACTTTAGGGGTTGGAAAATATGGCCCATGTATCAGATCTCACCCTTCACCTGTTTTTCTGAATGAAGTTTTATTGAAACAAATTCACACACATTCATTTACATATTTCTGTACTGCTTTTTTTGTGCTACTGTGGCAGGGTTGAGTAGTTACAACTCTTGGGACTCCAATGCCTGAAATACTTACTCTCTCTGACTCTTAGCTGATCCCCTGCATCAGATGGTATAAGCACTCTGGCATTAGTATATTTTTGTTCTCTTTCTATAGCACATAGTAGTATGTTCTAACTATATGTTCTTTCTCCATAACTTTGTCAACTTGGTGCATTCACACCTTTATCTTTATTAGTCTTATAGAGAAAGGTGGTACTGTATTTTTTTATTTGCCTTTCTTTTTATGTTAGATTGAATTTATTTTCATATTTAATAGCCATATGTATTTTCCTTTGTCTTTTAAATCCTTTCTAGAACCTTTCTTAAGTGTGTTTACTCAAACCAAATATATAGAATGGGTAAAGATTTATTTAACTCTAGTGAGCAGAAACCATCTCAATGATGGCTAATTCAAAGGAGAATATGTGAGACTGAAATGTACCTAGTTAAAGAAGGATTTTTTTACAAGGCACACACATAAAACCAAACACAGCCACAACTCCAAGAGTTATTTTTCCTACTGAGTTGAATCCCCTTGCACTTTGCCAGATGAAAATCATGATTTTCTATTCATTTTACAACAGGTTGTTTTTCAACTTTATAGAGTCTATCCCTTAGTCAGTAGTAAATGCTAAGTCACACAAAATTCTGTGCTCCAGAACATCAGATGACCATTAGGCAAGCTGCTTATAAATAGGTATAATACGACTTTGAAAGACTGTAAATAATCATTTTGCCTTAGCTCTAAGTTTTGGATAATTTTTTTTAAGATTTCTTCTGCTTTGAAATTATTTCAAATGATACTATTTTCGTATGACTTAACAATGAACTTCTCTTACATTGTAAAAAATCTACTCACACTGCAGTTAATGTTCAAATGTATGCTCCAAATTTGAGTTTTATTTTATTGGGTGTGAAGATCATAACAGATTCCCTCAAAATGACATTTGAAAACAAATATCTCAACAGCCTTAATGCCGAAGAAATTATAACTATAAAGGAGAAAAAAAAAAACCCTCAGACTCTGGCTAACATAACTGTGTTAGTCTTTAATAAAATAGACTATTAAAGCAAACACCCACTGCTGTTCTTAATTTTTCTTTTACTTTTCTGTTCTTAATTGGTGGCAAATGCCCTTAAAATGTTTAAAACAGTCTATAGATGTGTAATGGCACTGTATCATAGTTAATTTATAATACTGGTTTAGTACAATAAATGGGAAGGCTTTGCAAAAAAAAAAACAAACAATGAACTTCTAAGAAAGTTACAAAGTTCACTGTTGTCTCTTATAAATTATACTCCGTTTTCCTTTTCTGCTGTATAGGAACTCATTACACAATGACAAACGGAGGCAGCATTAATAGCTCTACACACTTACTGGACCTTTTGGACGAACCCATTCCAGGTGTGGGTACATATGATGATTTCCATACTATTGACTGGGTGCGTGAGAAATGTAAAGACAGAGAAAGGCACAGACGGGTAAGTGTTTTCAGTAATTTTTAAATATAGTAAATAACAGATCACTTAAAATGTATTTCTGCAATGATCTCAGACCACCAAGACACATATTATACTTTAAGATAAATTTAAAAGTTTCTACATTTCATATTTGATTCATGTTTTTTCTCTTACTCTATGTGTATGCTTAATTTTTTTTTTTTAGCTTATTTATACCCTATATTTTTCTGGAAAGGACTTGAGGTAGCTTCAAAACAAATGCAATTAGAAGACAAAACAGGAAGGAAAAGGGAAAGCACAGCAAGGAGTTGGGAGGAAGATCAAGCCAAATTTAAGGAGGTCAGCATGATTTTTGGATTTCAGCAGCAAAAGAAAAAAAGGAAACTTATTGCACAACTCTTACATGAAAAAAGGAAGATAATGTACTGAGGAAATCATTTTGTAGGATTTTACTGTTTTTTAATTCCCTTTCCCAGCATTAAATTCTGAGATATTTCTCAAATTGGATCCTGAATAAGGTTTTTTATGTATTGTAATAAACCACTAATTAAAAAGAACAAAACAAAATCGAACCAGGCATATACCTGTAATCCCAGCACTCAAGAGGCTGAGGTAGGGGGATTGCAAGTTTAACACCAGCTTTGGCTACATAAAGAAGCACTGTCTCAAAATAAAAACATGACTTTAATGTAAAGTGCATGGATCTTATTTGTTGGTTGTTGAACTTGCTGGTATAATATCCAAAATATTTTCTAAAAGAGAAAAGAAATTCTAAATCCCCAAAGCCTCTATTTTTGATATCTGAAATTTACTTATAAATGAAAATTACATTATACAAAATAGTTATAATCTCTGATATTAACATATGAGCTTTTATATAATATATACATTTGTCTGAAACCTAAAATTTGAATTAGATTATGAAAAGAACAATTTCTAAGATTAGTTGGATGGTATTTACCTTTGGGGCAGGACTGAAAAAAGATGTAACACATGAAATCGCTGTTGTAATTCAGCGATTCTCAGATGTTTTTAGGCTCAGATTCCCTTTTAGCTTTAAAAAGTATTGAGGCTAGGCACTGGTAGTTTACACCTGTAATCTCAGCTACATTGGGAGGTTGATATTGGGAGAATCACAGTTCAAGGCCAGCCTGGACAAATAGTTTGTGATACTTTTGATTTTTACAACAGAGCCCTTAAAAAAGGGTGTTATGGACCCTTGAAGGGTGTCTGTGTATCTTTTTTTGTTTGTTTGTGGTCCTGGGATTTGAACTCAAGGCCTACACCTTGAGCTTACTCCACCAGCCCTTTTTTGTGGGTTTTTTCGAGATAGGGTCTTAAGAACTATTTGCCTTGGCTGGCTTCAATCCATGATCCTGATGTTTGCCTCCTGAGTAGCTAGGATTACAGGCATAAGCCACCCAGCACCTGGCTGGTGATATTTTGAGAACCAGTGTTTTAATCAAAATGCTGAGGTCAGACATGCTATAAATCTTATGTCTCATATGATTATTAGGTACAGTTGTACTTAGAAGTATACATTTAGGGTCATTAACAGTATTCAGGTTAGGATTTACATATGCTTTACAGTATGATATCCTGCCAGTTTCCCTAAGACACCATGTTCATAAACTTAAGGAAAATGAAGACTAAAAGAAACCATAACAAGTCCTTATAATTATATAAATAATAAGTTATATAAATAGTCCCTAGTCCTTGAGAACAATTCTAATAATATATGAAGTAGCCCATATGTGTCCTCACTAACTATATCAGTCATATTTCCTAGATCAAATATTTTAAAACATTTGATCCATGCTTATATAATACAATGTTTCAAAGCTGAGAAAATCCCCCATTGATTTTTTTCTTCTGTTTTGATGTTTTAAAACACTAAATTAAACAAAAAATATTTCATGTCGGTGTATATATCTACTTAATTCTTTGTCATAAGCCTTTTTATTTTATTTGAAGTTCTCATGCCCCAGATTATTTTGAAGCAAATTAACACTGTATCATTTCAGATGTTACTGGCTCAGTATTTTACAAAATGGTGGTAAATCTCATTGTCCTTTACCTTTTATTTATTATCCTGAATGCTTATGTAAAAAGAACTTTCCCCTTACCACTATTGGGAATCTCTGAAGTACACACTGTGTAGGAAAGAGAGTTTGAAATAATGTTTCCTTAGGATCATCAAAAGTGACCAATGAGATTTGTGTTTCAGTATCTTCGTAAACTCATGAATTTAAATATATTTGGTATATCTTCATCATTATAGTTATTCTTTTCATTGAGGTCCATGTTGGGTTTTTTTTTTTCATTTTCTAAAAAATTTTATTGTATTTACATTTACTCACATGTGTATACATTGTTTGAGCCACACCCCCCAACCCTTTTTTGCTTTAGTGTTTTTTTCACTAGCTCTTGTGTTTTTGCCTGGGACCTATCCCAGACCATGATCCTCCTACCTATGGCCTCCTATGTAGCTGAATCTACAGGTGTGCTCTGCCACTCCTGGCTTATTGATTGAGATGGTTTTTGCCTGGGCTGGCCTGGAGCTGCTCCCAGTCTCACCTGCTGAGTAGCTAGGATACAGGCCTGAGCTACTGTGTGTGTACTTTTGACTAGTAGGAACATATCCAAATTGGTGTCTGTGTCCTCTGACGTCCTTAGACTTCATGTGTTCTGAGAAAACAAGATGATGCTAGTTCATCTTACACATTTCCAGCCGTGAGTGTGGAGTCAGCCATAAATCCAGGATCTCTGTTCCATTGAAGGAAGATGGTATATAGAGCCATTCTGGGTACAAGGAGGTACTTACTGCTTCTGGGTTGATCATTATATCTAGTCACCAAAGTTTATACCTGTCTTCTAATTTAAATTCATTACTATACAGCTTAACCTCTAGTTCTTAAATCTTTATCTCCTTTAATCCTTGCCAGAAATTTCAACATCACAGTCATTTAATTTACTGCACAATATACACGTACAGCAGTGTCAGAATAATTGTACCAAAATTATCAATAGTATGCCTCCTGAAAAATTTTAGTGTTCCCTTTTTCTACTGTACTTTTTGTCCTAAGTATTTATCCCACTAGCATTACATGTACAAATTACTTTGTTTTAAAGTCCATTGGAATAGTTTCTTTATCATTATGTTACTGCTAAGGTGCACTTTAGATTCATTTGTTTAATCTACTTCAGCTTTTAAGGATTGTGTTTATAGGTTTAATTTTTTTTTTTAATTTTATATGGTTCTAAAGTTAAATGTACAGGGCTGGCAGAGTGGCTCAAGAGGTAGAGTGCCTGCCTAGCAAGCGTGAGACCCTGAGTTCAAACCCCAGTATTGCAAAAAAAAAAAGTTAAATGTGCAAAATAAGTATATTAAAGAAGTCTAGTTAGTGTCTCTGTCTCTTCTGACCTGTTGTCTCCCTCCCTTTGTAAGTGGTGATGTATATTTTTAATTTCGTGGTTTATCCCTCCATTTAAAAATTGCAGGTGTGTGTATTTATACTTACCTTTCTTTGAAAAACAGCATACTTCTAGCCACCTTGCTGTCTTCATAACTGATTCCTTTTTTAATTGCTACAGAAGTTTTTATTACATAGATGTATTACAGTTTATGTAACCAATACTGTATACTGATAAATGTTTAGATGGTTTCCAGATTCTTGTTAGGAGCGATGATGAATGACTGCTCTTACACAGTGTATAATACATACCACCTACACCATCAGCAAGTACTTGTTAAGTGGTGGTGTGCAAGCAGCACAAAGAGAATGGCAAAGACTCAGTCTGAAAATGAGTTCCTATTATCATATTTTATTAAAATGTTGGTATTTTCATTGAAGAAAAGCAACACTGAATTTAGTGATTATTTTCAAAGAAATTACCTACCTCTTCTAAAAATCATTAGTATCTGTTTGGATGTTTATAGTATAGCAGGAATAAAACTGTCACATTCAACTTAGATCTTACTATGTGTTTTTAATGGGGCCTGTGGCTTCAAATAGTTGATACCCTGGATCAGATCACTGAATTCTAGTCATAGCTCTCCTACAGGATACTTGAGTACCACATTCCTAGGTGAACACACCTTTTTTAATTTTTTGGTGAGACTGCAGTTTGAATTTAGGGCTTTCAAAGCAGGTGCTCTGTGCTTGAGATACACCTTCAATCCATTTTGCTCTGGTTATTTTGGAGATGGGGGTCTCAAGAACTATTTGCTTGAACTTGCCTAGAATGATGATTCTCCTGATATCAGCCTCCCAGTGTAGCTAGGATTATAGGTGTGAGCCACCAGCATCCAGATGGAATATAGCTTTTTAAGACAAAAATCCAAATAGGAAAGAGGTTAGGACTGGTTAGGGACAGGTTTAGAAATGTGTTCTTACTAAGGGGGCAAGAGTTGTCTCTTTCTTAGTGGAGTAAGATTTGGATCAAATCTGTTATCTTCTTGTCAGTCTCATATTGTCTATGCTGTAATCAGTTGGGGACACTTCTGCCTTAGTGGTGAAAGAGCCTCTGAATCCTGCCAGTGGGATTGCAGCTCTCCACACCTGTATATTTACAGTCCTACAACTTCAGGGGTGGATTTATTTGTCTCAGTGTAGACTATTCTGCTATTCTACACTATATTTACTATTACTGATTTTGCCTTTTAAAGACAATTATAATCCACTAGGAGCAGGGAATGGCAGGCATTTCTAGTCATATTCTATTAATTCCACTCCACTCATGTAAAACATACCTGTGCATTCTAAGTTTGAATTTGATTCAGTTTAAATGTCTTGAGCAGAATTCCATGTGGTTTATGGACCCCTTGAACTCAAAACCTTGAGGTTTTACTGAAAATGTAGATCTCTGGGTAACTCTTACCGTCTGGTACTAAGATCACTAAGTGTCTGACATAGTGATGTTGCAGAAAATTCACCTTTCCCATTGTTTAATTCAGAAAGCACCGTTCCGTGTATGGTAACTGAGGGAAAAAAGCTACATTCTAGAATTGTGGCTTCTATTCATAGTTTGAAAAATGAAACAAACATTTCTAATTTCAGATCAACAGCAAAAAGAAAGAATCAGCATGGGAAATGACAAAAAGCTTATATGATGCGTGGTCAGGATGGCTAGTAGTAACACTCACGGGATTGGCATCAGGTAAAGAAAAATTTTCACACAGTTGCTTTTTAAGAAAACTGTAAACGGATCTCCTCCTCTCCTCAGTTCTTCCCCCCAAGTGCTGTTGATTTTTTAAAAGCATTTGTTTCTCTTCTTCAAAAAATCTTTTTAAATATAAGACTTCTTAGTCTAGTCTTGGCTCAGTCACTTTAAGTTGTCTGGACAACTTGGCTTATTTTTTTGAGCTCATACAAAAGCTTATCTTTTTTCCTTATATGTAAAATAAGTGACTTGGATCAGATGACCAATAAATTGAATTATGTTTTATTTTAGCATTGTAATAAATACCTAATACTTACTGAATGCTTCCTATGTGTCAGTGTTGTGCTTTAAAAAGTTTACATATATAAAAACCTCGTGGCAATCCTGTGGCATAAACACTCTAATTATAACTACTTTACAGATGAGGAGACTGAAGCACAAGTGAAGTAACTTGGCTGCAGTCATGTAGCCAGCAAGTGGCTTGGCCAGGATTTAAATTCTAGCAGTCTAGCTTAAGAGATGGCTCTTTTAATCACTGTACTGCAGTGTTACCACACAATCACTAGGTGTGAGATTTTAAGAACTGGCAGTTGAGGATCTGAAAACAAGTATCAAGCCCATTTTAATCACTTTCAACTTCTATGACGGAAGAGCACATCTATAAAACTTAGAAAATTAAGATTTTTGTGGTGAATAGATTGCATGCACCAGACTTGTGGACTCTGTGAATGACCCAATGATGTTTTTATATGTAGGATTGATCAAAATTAGACCAAGAATTTATATATAATTTTTATTCTGTCAGTAAAAAGATCTTTATGTATGACTTTCTGTTATCTAAAAATATTATAACTACTATAGTAATTCATGAATGATTTGAGCTTCATAGTGGACATCAGACTTTAATGAGACTAATATCATTTTTAACTCTATTAATTAGGTTTGGGATTGAAATATACTAGTTTAAAATCCTGACTTTAAGAACCAGATTTTTGGACCTCCTGGCACATAGCTGTCTTTTGAAAAGTGTTTTAGTATCTTTTCAATACCTTTTCTTCTTTTTTTTTTATGAATTATATTGAATGATGTGATTGGCTTTTAATTACAAACAAAAATACCAATTTTAAAGAATAGCTAATTACAGTTTTTTAAAAAATGAAATGTATCTATATTTATAATTAAAATTTGAAAAATCTTTCTATAATATACCATAATTGATCCTTCATTTATTGGCAGTTATCTGCTTTTGATTACCCTCTTAACTATGTAATTCTCAACTCCCAAAAAATGTACTTAGTTTTTTACTATCTCCAACACATTTTTACAGGGGCATTGGCTGGATTAATAGACATTGCTGCTGATTGGATGACTGACCTGAAGGAGGGCATTTGCCTTAGTGCATTGTGGTACAACCATGAACAGTGTTGTTGGGGATCTAATGAAACAACATTTGAAGAAAGGGATAAATGTCCACAGTGGAAAACATGGGCAGAATTAATCATAGGTCAAGAGGAGGTAAGTCTTGTTTTGCTCAACATGAATTAATCATTGATACAGTGAAATATCTCCAGTTCATTTATTTCAGTCACACAGTAGGTGATTGCAACCTACAATAAAGAAAAAATGTATAACAGAGTAGAATGTACAGTATTTAACTATATTGTCATATACAAGTCACATGCATTGTGATACAAATTTACTTTTTGTATATTGTGGTTAGAAGAGAAGTAGTAATCATTACAATAGGATCAGTGTAAAGTTAACTTTGTATTAAAGTATGAAGATAGCCTAACACATAACATAACTAAGAATGAATTATGAAAGTGTAAATTAAAATAAGCCTTGTAAGTAGAGATACTTTGAAAAATTCAAAGATTTTGCTTTGTGGCACTGTAGTATTTGAATGATTATCTTACAGAATCTTATCTTACAGAATGATATTTTCTAATAGAAAACATCCTAGAACTTAAGATATTACAGATATTCACATGGATATATTTTAAAAATTTTGTTATAGCTGAACTTTAGAGTGAAAAAAGCTGTTGGCTAAGATGTGCAATATGCTGTTTCTTACTTAGTTTAACTGAGTTAATGATGTTTAGGAGAATTGGAGCAGGATGAAATCTGAGTGCCACCCAATTTTGTCTCCACTTAGCAATTTCCAATTTTGTGGGTAAACAGAGGTTGAAGGGTTGAAGTGTAACTGAGTTGTGTTGGTAACAAGACTTTAGGGATCAAGAAAGAGCTAGGAAAATGATTTAATGGGATTAAGATTCCTTGGTATGTGTAGTAATTATTTATTTGGATTCTATTTAAATATGTTATTCATATAAAGTTTTCACTATAGTGGAAATAAATCAAGAAACTTCTAGGTGTTTTACCCATTTGTTGGTGGTGGCACAAGCCCATTTTCCCAGCTTCTTGGGAGGCTGAGGCAAGAGAACCTTTTGAGCCCAGGAGCTCAAGCCAGCCTGGGCAACACAGCCAGACCTGATTTAAAAAAAAACCACAAGTTTCTTATTTGGCAAGCACTGTGTTTGGAGTTCGCTGTAAATTGAGTTCGTATTCTTGAACTGCTTTTGCTTTTTTTAGGGTCCTGGCTCTTACATCATGAACTACATAATGTACATCTTCTGGGCCTTGAGTTTTGCCTTTCTTGCAGTATCCCTGGTAAAGGTATTTGCTCCATATGCTTGTGGCTCTGGAATTCCAGAGGTAAGCCATGCATATGCATGTCATTGAGTGATTATTATGATGCTTTTTGTCTTTAGGGGAATCTTTCTTTTTTTTTTGGAAAATAGCTTTTCTGTGATATGAAAAAGTTTTTTTTTTAATGTAAGCTCATTGCAGACATATTGAAAAAAAATTTTTCCCCCTAATCATTTCATCATTTACTGTAGAAGTTGACTATTTTTTTTTTACCCTCTGACCATGAATTTAGCACATGACAAAGCAATTTATTAGAAAATTTAGTTAAACATCAAGAGTCAGGGAAAACATCTATGACCTAAAGTTTCTTTGATGGAGTTAGTTGATGTTTTGCTGTTATGACCCAGATTTTAATGCATTCATTCCCTTTTTCCAACTATATTTGATTAGATTAAATAAACTAATAATTCTTGAATTGGCCACTTTATACTTTGAGAAAACATTTGATCATTGTAGGTCAATAGTACAAACTTTGGGGTTTTATTTTTTTATTAAAAGTAATTTAAAGAAGAATTACACTTAGACTTGAAGTTGTTTATTTCCATTTTTTATTTTTCCTAATGTTTCTTTATATAAAACTGTAGTGATTTTTAAAGCTGATTAGTTTAGGATATCTAATGCAGTTCTTAGCAATCTTCATTTATCCTTGACATATAGAGAAACATTCCACATAATTACAATACTCTAAGGAATATCTTTACTTCTGACAGAATGTCTAAGATGTATCTAAATATGTTATGCTTATTTCTACAACAGAATATTAAATTTTCCCTTTTCTTGCTTATATAATTATAACCCTTGTAATTAAGATCTGTATTTACTTTAACATGGTATGTTATTTTTATTTGTTCATGAGATAGGGTTTATTATCTTCTTTATTACAAAGGGAGAAACTCAGGCATGGAGAGGCTAATGATTTGCCCAAGATCAGTAAACAGCAAAGCCAGAATTCTGACTCATGCTGTCTATGGAGATTCCCTTTTGTTCACGGAGACTCAAGTGGAAGTACAGTAGATACGAGGAAGTCAAAGGCTGCACTTGCTTGGATGTAAAATTAGAATATAATCTAAATGTTATATGAAGCATAATAAATTTTAAAAAATTAATTGTGTACTATTACAGTTTGTTAAAGTTTGCAATGTAGATTTGTGAGTAAAACAGGAGAATGATTTCTAGTAAGTTTTCATGTTTCTTAAAGGAAACTAAGCTGCCCTAATCTTTCCTTTGTAGATTAAAACTATTTTGAGTGGATTCATCATCAGAGGTTACTTGGGAAAATGGACTTTGATGATCAAAACCATCACTTTAGTACTGGCTGTGGCATCGGGTTTGAGTTTAGGAAAAGAAGGTCCCTTGGTACATGTTGCCTGTTGCTGTGGAAATATCTTTTCCTACCTCTTTCCAAAGTATAGCACAAACGAAGCTAAAAAAAGGGAGGTAAGTGTTTTTTGTAGTTCATTTGACAGAAAAATATCTATTATATAGATTTGATGTCAGTGAGGAATTTCCTACTGTTAAAGTCACTTTTACTTACTTTTTGGATAATTTCTGTATTTAGAAAGTTTTTACTTGAAATTAATTTGTGTTTCTTTTCCCTTTTGTGGATAAAAGATTCCATCCCCCTACTTCTCAGTTACTTCTTTATTTTAGAATGCTTTTGGTAGACTGGCTAGTTCTCCTTGGGTTTCAGTTGAGTTTTACGTGTTTTCACTTTGCCTTACACCTTTCTTCTTGCTTTCCACGTCAGCATTCTTTTTACTTTTATTTTCAACATGGAAATCCTAATTGCTATGTTTCCTCCTGGAGTAGTGTCTACTACCCATGAAAATAGTGCATGAGATGTAGAAATTCTCATCAAAGGGAAAAATCCTCTTTATCCACCTGTTTTAAGGCAGTTGCCTTCATAACTTTACCAGCCTGAGCTCTAGCAGACCTTTATACCATAGACTTTCAAAAAAATAATAAATAAGCTATAAACTTCAGCTCATGTTTCTACATTTTTATGGCTATTTCTGGAACAGTGGATTCCTGGGCCTTTTGCAGACTTTGGATTTTTGTAGACCTCTAGACTGGGGAGCCCTGTGCCCTTTTCCCCCCATCTAAATCTGCAAACCTAGGCGATATAGAGATGGCAGGGTTTTTAAGGTATGATTTGTTTTTCTGTCCTGTCAAATATGGAAAACTTTGGCGGTCTTTGACCCTCATAAGGACCTTTTATCCTGTGTTTTTATGTAGTACAACAAAACAGTAGAATATTTTATCAAGGTATTTAGTTATTTAATTGAAATAATTCTAGTACTTTTTAATATTAGCATTAGAATATTGTTCTGGAAACAGTGTATATTCTGAAAGTGAAACACTTAGGAACATCATATAGTTCCATCTCTGATTAACAATTGTAATTTCAGTACTTTACAGCAAAAATAGCTTTCATTATTGGTTACTTACTATGTATCTAGTACTATAGAAGTATTTTACTTGCATTTTTAAATTAATTCCACAATAATCCTAGCAATGTGGAACTATTCCCTCATTTATAGAATAGGAAACTAAGTCTTAAAACAATCAAATAACATGCTCAAGATAACATAGCAAGTTAGTGGCAAAATGTGAATTTAAATTACTTTTCTCTGACTCCAAAGACTATATGCCCTTAACTGCTGTAGTACAACTGCAGCTGTGTGGGTATATATTTATGTGTGTTAAAAGCAACAAAACCCAAGTCCTTTACAGCAAGTTAGTGACTAAAATGGATTTATAGTACTTGCCTCCCTAGTTCCTTTACTTTTTGATGTACCTTGACATTTCTTTGTAAGACTTTTTATTTTTCACTATAAGTTCTAAAAATGTAACTTATAGTCAGGTGTGGTAGTACATGTCTGTAATTCCAGCATTCAGGAAACTAAAGTAAGAAGATCACAAGTTCGAGGCCAGTCTGAGTTGTATGTAGGTTCCAGGTCTGCAAGGGCTACATAGTGAGACCCTCTGTCAAAAACCATACCAAAACAAAAAAAAGAAAAGAAAAAAGTTATCTTTTAGAGTATGTTGTTTAGATTGAATTAGTTAACCTACATTTTAATGTACACATGTGGTAATTAGTTAATACGATATTGCTGTTTTGTTACTTTAGTATAAATGGTGAGAATTCTCTTGTAAATTGTCCCATATTTTGCTTTCTTCCTATACCTACTTAATTGACATCTTTAAAATTAAATGCTTCTTAGATACTCATGAAACATGTATGCGTTACAGACACCTGTGTATTAGCTTGATTGTAAAATTGTATTACAGTAAATACAGACTCAGAATATTCAATTAAATAAATGTGTTGTCTGTAATCCTGTTAGTGAAAAAAGTAAATAAATTTTATTTGATCCTTTTCCTCCCCTAAGTAAGCAGAGCTTACATTCTAAAGCCAAGTACAATCTAGTTAAAATAATACCTGTTTATTTTTAATTTATCAAACTTTTATAAAGTGCTTATGTGGTGCTGGGTGCTTTCTAATTATTTAGAGTAAAGCATAAGGGGTCTGTCATTTACCCATTGTCACATAGTTCATAATGATGTAGCCAGGATTGCATCCCAGAAGCTTCACTATGGAGTTCATGCTCTCTATCAGTTTACAGCTTAATTCTTACTCTAATTTCTCATCTAGAAATGTGAAAATTGACTTTTCATGGAAATGCTTTAGGTACCCTCAAATATTTACTGAATTAAAATAGTGAAAGGAATAAAGACTTAGAAAAATAGTTACATATAATTACTTATGCAATATGTATATTTTAAGATCATACATATAATGCCCAAAGAATTTATATGTATAGGGTCAGGTTGGTGGTACATGGCAGGTACTCAGGAGGCAGAGATAGGATCATGGTTTGAGGCCAACCTGGGCAAATGGGCAAAGTTAGGGTGACCCTATCACAAAAAACATGCTGGGCATGGTGCTTCACGCATGTAATTCTAGTTACTTGAAAGGTGGAGGTAGGAGGATCACAGACTGAGACTGGTGCCTGGAAAAAGTATGGGACCCTACCCAAAACAAACTAAAGCAAAAAAGGGCTTGGGCATGGTTCAAGTGGTAGAGCACTTACTGAGCAAGCATAAGACTCTGAGTTCAATTCCTAGAAGTGTTCAAAAAGAAAAAAAGAAATTATATGTATAATTAGCTTCGTGCAGGTGGCAAATGGGCAGGGATCAAGTGAGAGTCTATAGGGAGTTGGACAGCAGACCCAGAAGAATTGTCTGACTTTTCCTTTAACTTCATTCTTGCTGTGTGGGGCTGTAACTGAGGGGCCAATGTCTGTGCTTTCAGAATGACTCCCTCCATGTCCAGGGTAGCAGGTGTTCAGGCCTTAGGGTAGTGAAACTAGAAAAAAATTGTAGAAACTATAGATTTTAAGTTCCCTCCTATCCTGCTAGTTTTAGAATAATTAATGGTGAAGCAGTTAGCTGTAAAATCTGAAGAAATATCCTGCTTCAAAATCAGTAAAACTCTCCCTTGCTGGTCTCTTCTGTCTGAACAAACATTCATACTGAAAGTTGTCTGTATTCATCCTTTCTTTCTTATAACATATTCATGTCAGTATATCTGGCACAAATGACTTTGGTTGAATAGTGAATGTATGAATATTTTCCATTAAAGCAGAAGAGAAAAAATTCTTGTTAGAACAAATGAATACTTGTCCGTGGCTTGGAGAGGAAGATATATAATTTAAATTCAGAAGAAGCATTTAGAAAATTTATGTAATAGCATTTTTTATTTGCCATATTTGAATTTGTAAGAAAATTAATTAGCCACATCCTCTTTATAGGTGCTATCAGCTGCGTCAGCTGCAGGTGTTTCTGTAGCTTTTGGTGCCCCGATTGGAGGAGTTCTTTTTAGTTTGGAGGAGGTAGGTACAGAAGCACAGCAATTAAAATGATATGTAATTACCATTGCAAATATATTTTGGCACACATTTTGGTTTAGCTGATGTAATATGTACAAAGTTTGTTTTTAAGTTTTCATTTTTATTTTTAGAAAGTCTTTTAACTAGTTCTTACATAAAAGTAATATTCTATACATGTTCCATACCTATAGAAAAGTATGCTTTAAATCTATCATTTATGTATAAATATTAGAAATTATTTAAAGTTGAACTTTGTTGATATGTTTAAAAATAAGAAAATGAATTTGACTTAAAAGACATTTAAAACTATCTCTGTTGGCTAAGTTATAGTTCATATTTTTATTTTTTACTTTTAAATTTTATGATTTTATTAAATTTTATTCAATTATAATCAAAGTAATAATACGATTAATAATATTATAGTAGTAAATCATTAAATTACAATTAAATTTTATAATTTTAAATCAATTCCTAAATTTGGCTTTTAAAGGTTTTCTTGTGTGATTATTTCTTAAAAGTTATTGATACCTTTGGAAATAATTTTACTTGCTTCCGTGAAAGATATTGTTTTTGTTTTCTCATTGATACTTGGAATTTTTTTCTTTCACACTTTCACATAAAACGTCCCTAGGAATTTTCTTGTTTTGTTTTGTTGTTTTTTGGTGGTACTGGGGTATGAACTCAGGACCTTGTGCTTGCTAGGTAGGTGCTCTACCATTTGAGCCATCCCTCCTAGAAATGTTTTTAAGTTTACTTTTTTCTTCTAGTTTGTGTTCAAATTAAATGTATCTTTATGAGTTAAAAAACATTGGTAATGGTAGTTTTTTTTTTTTAAGTGAACACTTTGTTTTTTGGATTTTGTTTTTATTGTGCTTGGGGTACATTGTGGCATTTACAAAAATTCTTCCAGTATATCAAATACATCATAGTTAAATTCACCTCTTCCCTCATTCTCTATCTTCCCTTCCCCCATTCCTGGAATAGTTTCAACAGGTCTCATTTTTCCATTTACATACATGCGTACACAGTATTTGCACCATAGTCACCCTCTGACACTCTTTCCTTATGTTCTCCCCCTCCCATTGGCACTAACCCACCAGACAGGACCTATTCTGCCCTCATGTTCTCCGATATTGTAAAAGAGCAAAAAAAAACAGGACATTTTTGTTTAAGTAACTACTACCATGATTGAATTAGATGTGTAACACCTTTTGAACATAAAACAGTGGTTGGGTATTCTAAATAATTATTAGACATTTGTGATCTGTCATTGTGAATTTGTAGTGATGTGATGGCTACAGGCAACAAAGCAACTAATTAAAGTAAAATATGAATTCTAACTAGCAAAATTTAGAGTTAGCTGTAGTAAAATATTTATCGTTCAAGCAAGTTATATCAGAAACATAAGAGGATAATATTAATATTTCTTTTCTTTTTTTAGGTTAGCTATTATTTTCCTCTCAAAACTCTGTGGAGATCATTTTTTGCTGCTTTAGTGGCTGCATTTGTTTTGAGATCCATCAATCCATTTGGTAACAGCCGTCTGGTCCTTTTTTATGTGGAGTATCATACGCCATGGTACCTTTTTGAACTGTTTCCTTTTATTCTCCTAGGGGTGTTTGGAGGGCTTTGGGGAGCTTTTTTCATTAGAGCAAATATTGCCTGGTGTCGTCGACGCAAATCCACCAAATTTGGAAAGTATCCTGTTCTTGAAGTCATTATTGTTGCAGCCATTACTGCTGTGATAGCCTTCCCTAATCCATACACTAGGCTCAACACCAGTGAACTGATTAAAGAGCTTTTTACAGATTGTGGTCCCCTGGAATCCTCTTCTCTTTGTGACTACAGAAATGACATGAATGCCAGTAAAATTGTCGATGATATTCCTGATCGTCCAGCAGGCATTGGAGTATATTCAGCTATATGGCAATTATGCTTAGCACTCATATTTAAAATCATAATGACAGTCTTCACTTTTGGTATCAAGGTAAGTGCTAACTTGAGGTGATACTGAAGTAATCTTGGCATGTTCAAAAGGAGAAATGAAATGTGAAATGAGAAAGGAAATTTTTATCAAAAGCTTCACAGTCCTGAGGTTAGAATTCGGAGAAGGTCTCACTGGACTGAAATCAAGGTGTTCACAGGAGGCCGTAGGAGAGTGTCTCCCCCACCCCTTTCCAGTTTCTAGAGGCTGCCCACAGTCTGTGGCCTGCATACCCCTTCTTCAGTCTTCTCAGCCAGCAGTGGCTGGTTAAGTCTTTCTACTTGTCTCACCACTCAGACACTAACTGTTGTAAATCCTTCTTCCACAGTGAAAAAGCCTGAAGTGATTATTTTCAACCCCCATGGATAATCCAAATAATCTCCGGTTTTAGCAATCTTAATTCTCTGCAACCTTAATTCGTCCTTGCCATGTAACATAATATTCAAAGATTCTGGGAATTCCCATAGGCATCTGTGGAGAACCGTTATTCTGCCTGCCATTCCACTATAAAATGTTAGCTTGAAAAAGACAATTTAGACTCAAAATTAAATTATTAGGTCTATGAGTACCATGACTTTTCTGTCAAGGATTTAAGGCCTATCTATGCCTTGGGACATTGTTTCTCTTGGATTTACTACAAATCTGACAGTAACATTTACTGGTTAGTGATGAGTAAATATAACTTTCATATGTGAGTGGCAGTGACATATATGAGGAAGCAGAAGTCAGCTTGTCATTGTTTAAATTATTGCACTGACCGTTCACATAATCGTTAACATCTGCTAGTGATAGTTTGCCTTCACAGGTGGAAGTGACATGGAACAGCACCTTTATTTCTATGAAATTGGGGTGGGGGTAGTTTTTCAAATAAGATTTCTGATCTGTTGTCCTTTTTTAGCCCATTGAGTATTGAGAGTCAAACAATAGAAAATACTTGAGGTTTTACTCTTTTTTTTTTTTTCCCTTAGTTTATCAAACTAAAGATGTGATTAGAGCTCTTTTTCTAGTCAGTTGTTTTTTGGTAAATCCCACCTTTCTCAGCATCAATAGAAGTACACTGATAGATAACTATAGTGGCCATAGTTGAGGAACACTGACAGTTCCATGAGGAAGCTGGAGGCAGTTCGTGGGCCCTTGTTAAGGCCCAGGACCTTGCTGAAGGATGGTAACTGTTTAGATTGTAAAACATGCTTTGATCCTTTGTATTGTGTAGCCCTTTAATAACCCAGGTACGTCCCAACATATCGTCATTTTGTGCTCAGTTTGTTTTATATCTAGAACAGGTTAGAGGTATTGCTCTTTCAATAGTCTTCAAACTGATTTTTGCTTAAGGTCTTTACTATTTCTATTATCTTCTTTAAATTTAAGTCAATAAATATTTTTCTCTTTTTAGTTGATATATATAACATAAATCAACTAAACTATTGGTATATATAAATAAACTAATATTTATATTTATAATATTTATTATAATATATTATTTTATATTTATAATATTTATATTTGCTATATATAAATAAACTAATATTTTGAGTGGAATATATATATTGCAGAATATTGTAGAACTCTGATAAGATTGCCTACTTTACATTGTGCCACTTAAAAGAATAGCATCTGATATTTCTATCATTTATAAATATGTGGGAAGAATATACTCTTGGGACAAAGTATAGTGCTTCAAACTGAATTGACTTAGTTTTATAAAAAATACTTCATATTGTCCTTTTGTTTTTCATTCCATCATAGACTAATGAAGATTTTGTTAGGGGAGAGCAGTAGGAAATCCCTAAAATAAATGATTAATAACCCTGGAGTTATCTTCTCTTTGGCCTAGAGAATATGGTTTGTTACTTTGTAACTGAATTCATGCAATTGTCAAGATACTGTTATAACAGGATCTCTGTAGTTTTATTTGCACTAGGATTTTTGTATATGAATAAAATATTAACAAAATAAACAAATCCATAGAATCTAGGTTCAAGTGTGCAGAACCTAGATTAAGAGGACCCCTGCCTCATTAAGAGTTCTGTTACGGTTACAGGTTCCATCAGGCTTATTCATACCCAGCATGGCCATTGGCGCAATTGCAGGAAGGATCGTGGGAATTGCAGTGGAACAGCTTGCCTATTATCATCACGACTGGTTTATCTTCAAGGAATGGTGCGAGGTTGGGGCTGACTGCATTACACCAGGCCTTTATGCCATGGTTGGTGCTGCTGCATGCTTAGGTAATATAAAGTGTGTCTGCTGTGCGTGGATGGATGTTTGCAAGGTTGAGAGTCAGAGCAAATGGTAGCATGCTCATGCCCAATTGGTGGGTGGGTTAGTGGAGCAGGAGGATGCAGAACTGAGGACAGGAATATACTAAAAGAAATGATACAGTAGTACTCTTATGGTATTACACAGTACTGGTTTTCATTATCCCTTTCTGAGGATATTTGTTAATGCAAAACTTGATAGTAGTTTTTGTAAATATCACAGAATGCCTTATGACCGAAACCATTTCAGTAAAATGTACACTTAATTTGAATCCTTCTTGTGGAGATTGTTGTTTTTTATATTGTTAAGGATTTTTTTTGAGCTGGCAGAGTGACTCAGGCATTAAGAGTGCTTGCTTAGCAAGCGTGAGGCCTTGAATTCAAACCTCAGTTCCACCAAAAAAAGAAAAACAAAAACTCTTCACTCATTCGGAAAGGATTTTTTGTTGTTGTTGTTTTTGGTTTTTGGCTCTACTTCTTGAGTTATTCCACAAGCCCATCATTGTTGGGATCTTGGCTTATCTAACTAGGATAGTATGGTTCCTAGTATTATTACTAGTTATCTTGAGTTCTGCAGGAATTAAAAGATTTATCTACTAGCCCTCCACCACTGAAGGTATATTTCTGCCAAAATGAGAAAAGATAACTATTTTAGGGAAAAGAAAAACATTTACAGTAAATTTTTAACTATTTGTTGTCTTCTTTGCCAAGTAAAGTAGTTACTTCTTATGTTCAAATGTCAGCTAAAGCTTGGTTATAATAATAGCTAGTGTTTTGACTTTATTTTTCTTTAGTGAGTCAAAATTATACAATTATTGGTCTTGAAGTGTAATATCAAATGAAAGTGAAGGACAGATCATTTTCATCAAAGTAGCAAGTATTTATTAAGCCTCCACTTTCCTTTTAGCACTGTGTTAGGTACAGTGAGTGATACAAAAAGACAAAAAGTGGGCCCAACCTCAACTACAGTCAAGTTGGGGGAGGTAAGACCAATGCTGAGAAAACAATAATGATCAATGTGTATTGATTATATAAAGTGGTAAAAGAATCTGATGTACGACTCTAGAGTGACAAAGAGCTGATGTATTTCAGGAAGGGCAGAATATGAACTTTTTAAGTTTTATTTGAGGAATTGCACATGTTGCCATTACTTGTGCTGCTCATCAAAGCCACCTTAATTCTTCTAAGGCTTCAATCAAGATTCATCTTCAAGAGAGCTCTTTTTAAAAGAATAGATGCTTAATCCACAGTTGTCCTGTCAGCCCACATTCTTCTATCTGGGCTTCCTTTGTCTTGGCTTGGATTATGATCATACTAATGAAAACTCCAAAGTTCCCCACTTGAGATCTTTTGGGTCTAATTTCTCCAAGCACTTACTTGAGGGTCATTTTTAGAGTAGACAGATCTGCCTGGTTCTCAGTTTCTAATACCATCTCTAAACACAAATGAGTTCAAATCATATATGTTCATAAGATATCGTACCCAAGAATGGTACAGCAGGGCATCAGTGGCTCATGTCTATAATCCTAGTTACTTGGGAGGCTGAGATTCCAGGCCAGCACAAGCAAAAAAGTTCATGAGACCCCCTCCATCTCAACAGAAAAAAGCTGGGAATGTGGCACATGCCTGTCATCCCAGCCTTAGTGGGAAGAATAAGAAGATTGTGGTCTTGGCTTGCTTGAGCAAAAAATAAGATGCTATCTCCAAAATAGCCTGAGCAAAAAGGTCTAGAGATGTGTTTCATGTAATAGAGTGCCTGCCTAGCAAGTGCAAAGCCCTGAGTGCAAACCTCAGTACTACAAAAAAAAAAAAAAAATCACAAATATGTGAGATATGCCAATAACTAAGCTAATAAATTTATTAGTAGTGTGGGGAGAAGATTATGAGAAGCCTATGAGAACTTGACATAAGTGCACTTCTGCTCAATGATCTACAGGGTGAGTTTGTCACAGCCCCAGCTGCAGAAGAGAGCAAGAAGGCAAAATGTAGCACAGCTGCTTTTCCTAAGTTGTTTATGTTCAGAAAAGTAGGGAGCAGGTTTCTCTTGTTACAGTATCACACCCCTCCCCAAGAACTGTTGCTCCACCTCGTTTACCACTGGATATAATAAAGACTCCCTGAAGGAGGATGTCACGTTTTTTTATGGGGGATTTTTGATTGGCTGCTGCTGCTGCTGCCGCTGCTACCACTGCTGGTTCTGTGTCTCCACCAGAGCAGCTTTCTGCTCTGAGAACTTTATACGTAGGCTTTAGAAAAGCTAAGCTAAAGAAAAGCTAAAGACAGCATGGGACAATGCAAGTCTAAGGACCGAGACTTTAAAAGTTATGCTAATACAGTTTTTAGACGCGGCTGCTGCTGTTTGTCTGCAAGTCTGAGGGCAAAGACTTCAAGAGAGATTAAAGGGAAGATGGAACAGTGCAAATCTGGGGGCCCAGACTAAGAGAGCTTAAGAAAACAAAGGACAGAGCAAGTCTAAGGAAAGAGACTTTAAAGAATAGAAAACAAGCAAGATTTTAAAGAAAGACTTTAGAAGTAAGGCCTTAAAGAATAGAGACGAAAAGAAGCAAAGTGAAACGAGTTATTAGAGGAAAGAAATAACAAGGCTGTTGTGCGTCTCCATCTAGGCATCCAGCACACCTGGCCTCAGCTTTATGCATGTTTGTCTTCTTTGTCCTTTCTGAGTCTCCCATTGCCCCCAGTTAGGTTCAGTAGGAACAGAACTCGTGAAAGCTCACTCCAAGTAGGTCTTTCATGCTTTTATTAACTATCTTGTAGTTAATAAAACTAGTGAATAATAACAGTTACTCTGTGAGGCATTCCCAGAGATGTGTAGCTAGATGAAAAGAGCCATTGGAGTGGAGCTCAACCTGAGCTTTATTTTAAAAGATTAGTAAAAGGCGAGAAGTGAGGACCTTGTTGAAGATTACAATGTGAAGACAAAGGAATTAAGATGGGAATAAATTTAGTATTCATGGGACTTTGAGGAAACTGACTATATTAAGCTAGGAATACATCTTAGATACTTTGAGGAAACAAAATTTGTGAAAAGGAACCAGATTTCTGTCAGGATGAATTGATATTTGGAAGTGGTCAGATCTGTGGCACAGCACAGCTCTGGCTTTGCCATTTCTAGCTTGATGATTTTGGGAAAGTTCTTTACTTCTTTGTTACTTAATTTTCTCATCTATAAAATGGAAATAACAGTCATTTTGAGGATTATACAAGATAAAATGCATATAAAACTGTTAGCATAGTGCCTGGCAAAATAAGTGCTTAGTTTAAATATCAAAAAAGCCTTTGTAAACTGACTTACCTGGCAAAGAGTAGATATATAATACACAGTATATTCATTTTCCGTTCTGTTTTTAGGTTGAAAAACAAAAAAGGAAGGGTATAGGCTTTAATATAGTGTGAACTAGTAAGCCCTGTTAGGTTTTAGCAAAGGAACAACATGGTGAAAGTAGTACTTAGCCAGGGTGGTGGTGCATGCCTCTAATCCCAACATTTGGAAGGCTGAGACAAGAAGGGTTGCCACTATAAAAAGAAAGTAGTACTTAGGAAAGATGAGCTTGGAAACATGGCTTATAAAGTGGATTGAAGTAATAGGGCATGGAGTCATGAAGGTAAGATAAAATGATATTAAAATTAAGGAACAAGTCTCCAGGGTCTGGATTAGATTGGTAACAGTGAGAATCCTGAAAAAGGAACCCACAGTTGGATATGTTACAGAGGAAATCAGATTGGACATGGTTCACAGTCTAGCTATTTCTGTAAAACAAAGGGATGAACCAGGAATAACCACCTACATTGTTGGGAAGAATGTGTTGCCAGAAGCTGGGGTCAGGGAAGTGGGAAGTTGGGATGAGGATGTCTTGGGGAAGAAAAGTTTGAGGTGTGTTGTGTTTTCTGTGGCAGTGGGTCACTGAGTCTTTTTACAGTTGAAAAAATGAGAGAAATACAGTATTAAGGTTTGGTTTGCATAATTTGAAACTTGTAACAAAAGCAACAAGTACAAAGATGTGGATTAGGGAGTCATCACCACAGAAACGATAATTGAGTTGACAATTCTGAGTAAATAAATAGGTAAATTTTATTTATCTGTGTGTGTGTGTGGTGGGGGAAGATTGAACCTAGGTCTTCATGCATTTTAGGCACATTATACCAGTCAACTGCACCCCCATCACAGAACAGAATTTTTTATAGGAGGGTATTACTTACATTATTAATATAAATCACAAGGCTTCGAAAAAGATTTTATAACTTTGGAAATATTTAGATGAGAAAAATGTATTAAATTTCTTTTCTACCCACATATGTTTAATACATAAATTGTTAGCAAAAAAAACAACCATGGTGTACTGCACCAAATTTCTTTAAGAGTAAGGTTTTTTTTTTTCACTTTGGCAGTACTGGGATAATAACATTTTATAAGGCTGAAATGTCTTTGTTATAGCAATAAACTAAAATGATATTGTTTTAGTTGGTCATCTTTTTTTTAAATGAGGTAAACCCAGGTTTGAAATGTTGTCTGTTATGAGCAATGAAGGTTGATTTTTCTCTAGATCTTATTAAAAATAGTGATTATTGTTTTAAGACAAAACTAGTCATTTTTGATAATGCTTTTCACTAAGTTCTATCTCAATTTTGTGTTCAATTGCCTAGTGCAAGTGTTCTAGTGATATGTAATGGTGAAGATCTTGTCCTTCCTGACCCAGTGGTGCTTATTTTTTTTAGGTGGTGTGACAAGAATGACTGTCTCCCTGGTGGTTATTGTTTTTGAGCTTACTGGAGGCTTGGAATATATTGTTCCTCTTATGGCAGCAGTAATGACCAGTAAATGGGTTGGAGATGCCTTTGGTCGGGAAGGCATTTATGAAGCACATATTCGATTAAATGGATACCCTTTCTTGGATGCAAAAGAAGAATTCACTCATACTACCCTGGCTGCTGATGTCATGAGACCTCGAAGAAACGATCCTCCCTTGGCTGTCCTGACGCAGGACAATATGACAGTGGATGATATAGAAAACATGATTAATGAAACCAGCTACAATGGCTTTCCTGTCATAATGTCAAAAGAATCTCAGAGATTAGTGGGATTTGCTCTTAGAAGAGACCTGACAATTGCAATAGGTACCTTTTTTAAAAATGTGCATTTGTTTGTTTCTCTCTCTCTCTCTCTCTCTTTTTTTCTCTCTCAGTTTTGCACTGCGAGACATTCAGACTAGAAACTGTGTGTGTATAAAAAATAGATTTCCGTAAGAAAGGAAAGCAGTAAAGTTATTTGTTTGGCTTTTCAAGGGCAAGGGATATTAATATGTGTCCCTTTGGAAAGGAATTTGTGTCTCTGTGGATTGTTCTTCTGCAAAATATAGTTTTATCTTTTAGATTAAATAAAAGATAGTGATAATGATAAGCTTAATAAGACATTTAATCTTTTTCAACCTAATCTGCATCTTCTACCCCCTGATATCCATACGTGATAGAGGATAGATAAGTTAAACAATTGCTTTCTTACACCCTAGTTTTTTGTATAGTACCGTGACTGGAAATGTTAAGCATTTGCTGTGTCCCCAAAGCTCATTCCTGTGAGCATGTCATCTCCCTTCCATCTTACTCTGTGGCCACTGCAAAAAGGTTTATAAAGTAATTCTTGTGCCATTTGAAGAGGGAAGGCCAGACGGTAGAAGTGGAATGTGGTACATTACGCACACGCACACGCACACACACACACACACACAGAAATAGGTAAAGGCTACAGATTTGGAAGAAGTTTTCAAAGACTCGTGACCCTATTGTTAGAAAGGTTTTATTTGGCTAACAGAACAGTAGTTGCCCAAGATGACAAAGTATGTTGTTAGACTTGACTGTGTTTAGTGTCTTCTAAGGCATTACGTTGACCAAATCTAATCAGAAAAGAACTTTATTGTTCAGATACCCATTATCTAGGTTTTATTGGGAGCCAGCCAAAGAAAAGGAAAGGGTCAGGATTTTTAACATAGAAAGTTAAAGGGAAAAGGCTAGGTTTTTAAAAGATAAAGAAGACAATGCTACAATTAAGGATAATTCATATTCCTGGTGGCTGTGTGGATGTATTGGGATAGGAGATAATATCAGCTTAAAGGAATATGGTACTTTAGATACATGAGATACCAAGACATGCCATCAGAAATGTTAGTCAAATATCTTTTTGAACATAACCTTAAATATTTGCCAGTGAATATTTTTGTATTTTTGTAAAGTTTTAATTTTTTCACTGGAAAAACATCTATACCCTAGACTGTGTGCGTATATTACAAATTATATATTGTGTATATCCTATACATAATATATAATTATATTTTAGGGTAAGAAATTCCTCCATACTCACAAAATAAGGTTTTTGAAATGCCAAATTAGATACAGTCCCCTTCTAGATATTAAAGCAGAATTTTTTTGAACTTTAAATTCTAATGGGAGGTTTTACATTATTTGGATCATTAAAATAGCAGTGCCAGGACTTTTTTTTAAGTGTCTGAATCATATCAGAAAATGAAATCTGTTGCCAGGTATGGTGGTATGTGGCTAGCATGCACAATCTGTGGGTTCTATACCCAGCACTGTAATAAATAAATCATAAAATCAAGTGTTTCATCATTAAATGCTTATTTAGACCATCAGTGTATTTCCATTGATCATATATTTGTTCTTTTATTGGTATTTAAGACTGATGGGCTAATTTAAACTTAAAACCTCACATCTGCCATTTGGTGTCATACTTAACATCTCTTTACTTTGTTTTTATTGATGAATTATTGCTATAGTTGTTTTTAACACTTTTGTATAGTTAAAAGTATTCTAAATTTAGCTATATTTCTGTTAACTTCACTTGCACATAAAACTCTATGCTTTTCCTCTCCCCATTCCATACTTCATACTGTTAGTGTCACACTTACTATATTATCTGTGTCCATTGGTATAGTATGTGCTGTTAGTGTTTATACCTTTCAGTTGACAGGCACAAGTCATTAGCTAGATTCTTATAGTCCACAAACAACTCGGTATTTTTCAAGAATCCCTTATGTCAGTTGTTAATAGGCTTTCTTCTTTTGCATACCATGACCATGCTTTTAAGATGGTCTAGTAAGTACAGGCCATTAGGACGTCACCTAGTGCCTTGCTATTTGGATGTTACAGATGGTTAAATGAGGCGTTAGTGGTCAGAAGGAGTAAAAAAATCATTCCAGTATTGTTTATTGTCAGTAATATCTGTGTCTCACTCTAAGCCAGATGATTATTGTTATGGGTTAAATATTTTTGTAGCAAAATTCATGTTCAAAATATTTTTACCATAACAAATACCATACAAGCACACAGTTTTGAAGACTACTAACCCAAAATAGAAGCAAAAAGCAGAATGACTTTTTTTTTTCATGTATTCTGTCCAATTTGTGAGTTTTCTTTTACTCCCTGTGGTCTTTTCTTGCCACTTCTTATCTCACATTTTCAAAGGTGGGAGTAGAAGCAGGTGGCAGGGCAGAAGCACTGAAAGCAGAGTACATAGCAGAGGAGAAATGGACAGAACCTTTACAAATAAAACAGCCTATCCCATGTTTAGCAATAATGTGGTAATAAAAATTTAAAACAAACAGCCTAAAAAAATCAGTCTGTATCTGTTGTATGCTTAATTGTAGTTTCAACCTGTCTGTAATGTTTACAGCTTATCTAGAAAATTATACTTTAACATCAGAAAAGAAATAGAACCAACTAATTCACAGGGGTAGGCTACACAACAGAGTCAAAGCAAGCATGAAATTCTGTTTAGTCTCAACCCCAATGCAGGATAAGTGGCATTCTCCATTCCATGATGGATTCTATAATAAACTGCTCTCAGACTGTGTTCAGGTTTTAAAATTCCATATTCCAAACATGCTTGTCTCACATAGTCAGAAAACAGCTTCAGCTCCAGTAAAGAAAATTGTACCATGATATAATTATACCCCCAAAACATCTGTTTACATGAAGATTATCAGTTATTGGTAGATTCTGATTCCCTTAAATAGAAGAAATCACCAGAATACCTTTTCTGTTGATTCCTTTCTTTGTTAAGGAGAACACAGGAAAAAGTAAAGGGACCAAAAGTCAGAAAGTGTATTTTTTTATCTCCACACAAGGCTGTCCATAAAAGAACAAAACTTGTCAATTTAAATTTTTTGGTCTTCTCTCTTTTTCAGAGAGTGCCAGAAAAAAGCAAGAAGGTATTGTTGGAAGTTCTCGGGTGTGTTTTGCACAACACACCCCTTCTCTTCCGGCAGAGAGTCCTCGACCTCTGAAACTTCGAAGCATCCTTGACATGAGTCCTTTCACAGTGACGGACCACACCCCGATGGAGATTGTGGTGGACATCTTCCGAAAGCTGGGTTTGAGGCAGTGCCTTGTAACTCACAACGGGTAAGTTGGGCACCAGCTCACCAACCAGAATTTATGATCCTTTCTAGGACAGAATGTGAGTCAGCTCCCAAGCGGAAAAGTCTGTGACTTAGTATGGTTATAAATATAGGATCAGTCTATTAGGTTTCATACTTGCCAAAGAATAAGAAAGATGGGAACTGCCCACTGTCTGCCAAAATATAAAGTATTTATTTAGAATAAATAAATACTTAGACTATTTGCTTTCTTAGATGAATAATGGGCCTAACCTGTTTGCAACACTGCTGAAACCTATTTTCTTTTTGTTAAATATTTCTAGTGTATAGATGTATAGTACAATAATATAGTTATAACTTTCTAGACATTTTGCTGTTACTCTTTCATCCAGCATTTGATTTATCATCCAGTGAAGAAAAGAACATATAAATGAAATGTGTAATTTAGCTAAAAATCTCCTTTAATCAGTGTTCTAACAAAGGACATTCTAGTGTTATGTATAAACTAAATGGCCCATCCTAAACAGTGTTAAGCTGGTTGAAATACTGCATTAAAAACTTTAGAGAATCACCAAATTTTGTTTTTTAGCATTTTGTGTAAAACATTTGGCTAACAGACCACATGACCCCTATCTAGAGAAAAGAAAGGTAGGAAATTGGTTTTTAAACACCTTCATGTTTTTTCATTTAACTTTGCAGGACCTCTGCAAACTAGGTGGTAGTTTCCCTACTTCATAAAGATCAAAGAGGCTTAATAATTTGCTCAAAATCAAACTATCTTTCTAGCTTTTAAAAACTCAATCTCTTGCTACTATTTTACACTGTAACTTACTGGTACAATACCCTCTTTCTTGGTGATCTTACTATTTAAAACATTCTCTTGGCCAGTATATACTAGGTGATGCTGTGTTGTGAACAGAAATATAGTAGATATTTATATTTCTATAAATAGAAATAGAAAGTTGGAGAAATAAATCCATGTCAGTGTTTTTGCTCTGTGCTAATTAAAATAATTTCATGAATATGGAATCATTAAAGAGATAAAGCTGTTAAGGACAGAAAATTTGGAATTGTTAATTGTGATACTGATTACAAAAGCAATGTGTGTGTAATAACATGTTACTGCTACCATTATCGTTCATTTACTATTGTTTAGTTAAAAATTGTATCAACCCTCAATATTTAGAAGCTTAATAAATACTAGCTAAATGGGGTAATTTTTCACACAGCTTTGCTTCAGACCCTTTTAATTATTAAATGACTAGATTGGAACCTAAGCTGAGTTCTTCAAAGCTTTTATTTACTTTGAATTGTTCTCTGTGCTTGGCATAGTTTGTCCTGTTCTGTACTAACAAATATAAATGTTACTCTCTAAGTTACTGTCTGTGACCACAAAGCTGTGCTCTATGGGTTTTCATATTTTGCCTTGCTGATTAATTCCCAGAATTATGACAGCATAGATATTAGGAAGAAAAAAATAAGTAATTAAGTGGGTAGGATGAGGAGAGGTAACTATTTTAAATTTTATTTGATGCTCTGGTTTATCTGAAAAGTGGAATTAGAATTTCTTCTACGGGAATGTATTTAATTGCCTTGGTTATTTTTCCTTATTTCTGTCCTTCACAGAAAAAAAACATCATTTGGGCAGGTGGCTCTTGAGGTTTTATTTTCTGTAAACATGTAAGGAAGCAGCAGTGTATTTTATTCTTGCATAATGTTAACAAATTTAAACCCAGAAAAGAAATCATGGTTTTCAGTGAAGAGCAGTGTTGTCAATGTTTCCAAGTTTATACTAGGGCTTTAGAGGTTATATAGGGGAAAAGACACAACAAATCTGGAACCTTAAATGTGATGTGAAAAACGAATAGAGATGATGGGGATATTAAGTCTGTGATTTGTAAAGATGTCAGTTAAATATCGATGTCCCACACTTTATATTTTAATTTAGAAGAATATCACAAAATATTTAAATCTTTTGGAATTAGCAGATTATTAATAGGAAATACTCAAAAAAAGTTTTGTGACTGTATAAGTGTAGAAAGAATTGAATTAGATATCACTGATCTTCTCAGATCTTAAAATACTGATATTCTTTGAGTCCTGAGTTGGGGGTATTAGGAAGTACAGTTTTCCAAACCTAAAAAGTAACCAGTTTTTGGTGCGGTGAATTGAGTAGAGGAACTCCTTGGGAGTAGATTTTCTTAATTACTAATATTTTCACATTTCTTGACTCTATTCATAAAATGAAGTGAACTGACAGCATTTTTTAACCTCAAATATTCAGTCAAAGAAGAATATCTTTTGAGTGAATGGATGTTCATTTTATATTGTACAGTTTCTGAGTTTGGAATGGGAAGTTGTTCCCATGGTCTGAAAAGTTTTCAGTTTATTTGTTTTGTTTTTTGGGAGTGGTACTGGGGTTTGAATTCAGGAGCTCATGCTTGCTAGGCAGGTGCTGTACCACTTAAGCCACGCCCCTAGCCCTGTGTTTATCTTTATTTCTAAGGATCAGTTTTGTAAAGCTTTGAGAAAACATGGACAAAGTAGCTATTTCTGCCTTTTAAATTCTTAGTCTTCCCTGCTTCTCCACCCCAGCCATCATTTAATTTTCTGTTTTGTGAGGGCTGCACCTATAGGACCAGACTGCTTTGAAATTCCTGGTGAGGTCCTTCAAAAAGTCAGGATATTCAAAAGCAGCTTAACAGGAAGGGTGACTTCACCAGATCACCAAGGACATGCCTAAATACTCTGAAGAGCATTTGGAAGAGCTTCTAGAATTTAGTCTTTCCTAGGGTTTTCTTTTATTTTTTTTTTACTTTTGTTGTTTATAGTGCCACATGTAGCAGTTGAATTCATTGATCTCCATGATAATAATTGGTAACCAGACATGTAACTTAATAATTAAAAGCAGTTTAATTAGTTTTAGGTGCCATAAATGAGCATTTATGGCTATCACTTTGTCTGATGTGATGATATGTAAACTGAGAAATAATTATATTAAAAAATGCATAAAGTAAAAGTCATTTTGACCTCACTCATAAACATCTTTTGCTAGCTTATATTTTAAGAAGTGGCATTCAGTTCCTGAAAATGATGAGCAGTATTATTTGTTGGATGCACATTGACTTAGTTCCAAACGAGGGTAAAGTCCAAGGCATTTCTTAGGTCTCCTGACAGACATTGAAGCTAAGCATTCCTCCACTGCTGAATGGAGGTAACAAATGATAGTTGCTGTGTTGTGACATCTTAGAAATTAGAAAAATAGGTCCCTCTGAGGAGATAACACTGGAAATGAGTCTCTAAATTTCAGAGGTTTAGAGCTATGTGTCATTATTAACTTTCTTTTGTACTTTTCTTTTTAATTACCTTCATTCTGACATTCATAATTTTGATTTTTAATCAGAAAAGAAAATAACACCAATACTTAAAAATATTATTGTGTCACTTTTGAGGTCAGTAGAGTTTATGCAAGGGAACCTAAGAGTTTTAAGTCATTTTTCCTTTTATTTTCCTGAAGTTCATGAGAAGCAGTCTTACATTGATGTTTTTATTTTCTTCTCTCATTCTCTATCACTATTATTGGAACCTCTTTTGATTTAATTTCTCACAGTTATTAGCATAATAATCTGTTTCAGGATTGTCTTGGGGATCATCACAAAGAAGAACATTTTAGAGCATCTCGAGCAACTAAAGCAGCACGTGGAGCCCTTGGTGATTAGATATATCAGATCTCCTCACTAGACACCTTAGAAGTCAGGAGGCATGAAACTTGTGAACTGTTCAGTTTTCTCCCAGACACCTGCTGAACAAAAACTCCTGCCATGCTGCCAATTACATTTGTGTCTGATCAGGCATCTGTGAGATAAATTTAGATATCTATAAAATTCCATTCATAGAAAGTAAGCAAAAGTTAACATCTCATCAAAATCATCATTACAATTAAAGAACTGCAAAAAGTTTGGTGGTATAATGAGGAAGTATTGGACATGCTTAAAGTAAACATGACAAATCTGTCTACCCTAGCGGATTCACCGGTCTCAGAAGACTCCTGACTGGTTAAAAATGTCTGCCCTGTGACCCCCAAACCCTTTTTCTTTTTTTTGTTTCCTAGTCTGTGGTAGTCTTGTGGTAAATCTAAGCTTAGTGATTTTAACTGAGCTTAGCAATTAGAATTGCTGACAGTTAAATGGATTTTTCAGTGGGCACACTAAGTAGAGTGTCCTGTGTATGTATTTGTGATCCTGCCATTAGTTCTTTTTCTGCTATTCCCTGCGTACTTACAAAGTCAGAATGTGTGTCCTGCCATTTATTAGTGAATTGTACATAGATCATGTATGTGCCCCTTTTGTATGATGTTTCTAGAATGCCATAAGCAGCTTTTGGGCTCAAATGCATTTGTTTTAACAGGCTCTATGTCTTAATGGTTTCATGACTACAGAAAAACTTTGATTTATCCTACTATATAACAAAAATTGTTTGGCTTTAGAAATTAATGCCTGAAATTATTTTGCCCTGCAATTGTCATACCTATGTAGAACCTGTCCCCATTTGCTAAAGTACACTACTGATTATGTATTCCTGTTGTATGCTAATATTTCACAAGTGTTTCATGCATCCTTTTTTTAAAAAAAACTACTAACCAGAATAATGTAGTAGCTACTCATTCATTCTGCTTCTGCTTCACCTATAATAATTGTTTTAGGATTGTTTGATTTCTCACCTATTTTTTAATGTAAGCATTAACACCTAAGACTTTCATAAAAGCACTATATCTTCTTTTGGGGGCAAAAATTAAAATAGAAAGCATTTCTAGTAAGTATGCTAGAAATTTAGGTTGTATTATAGATTTATTCTCGGGGTTTTGAAATTCAGGAGTACAAAGTTCTGTATTGATCATTTATATATATTTTCTCTCAGTTGTATGTACTTTCATGAATATCCTTGAACAACTGGGCAATCCTTAAATTCTTTAAAATTGGTTAATTTTAGTTAAACAAGAATGTGAAGAATTGAGGGGATTTGATTAGGGTTTTTTTTGTTTTCTCAATATGATGAGAATGAATTTTCCTTCTCAAATGGGATGGATATTTCCTGATCATATATCTACCCATTTTTTTGTTGGCATACATTAATCAAAACTAGTTCTACTTCAGTGAGGTGTGCAGTCCTCAGAGTCTCAGTGGAAAGGGCCCTTAATAATATAAAGGATAGTTGCTGAATAATTTTATTGTCTTTACCAATTTTAAAACTTTTTGAAAAATACAAAATCAGGCTGCTTGCTTTGCTCTATTCCTATCAACAAAAAGGATTTAGCTATAGATTTAGCATCTCATTTTTCTTTTCCCTCCTATTTTAATAGCACTTTTCTTTTATCCCTTTCAGGCGCCTCCTTGGCATTATAACAAAAAAAGATATCCTCCGTCATATGGCCCAGACGGCAAACCAAGACCCCGCTTCAATAATGTTCAACTGAATCCTGTAGATGAGGAGAGAGAGGAAATGGAAGAGGAAGTTCATTTGTTGAATAGCACAACTCTTTAACCCGAGGGAGTCATCTGCTTTTTTTCTTCTTAAGAAACAAGAAAAGGAAATATAAAAGCCAAGCAGTTGCAACGTGGTTTGCAAATAATGCTGGTGAAGTGTAGAAATTGGGGAGAGAAAGGAAATAGAGAATAGGAGTAAGGTATTCTCCTGTCTATCCAAGAGCAGCAAGTCAGCTCCTGTTGTTCTGCGCTGGATGAGTTCACAGAGGATGTACTGTGATGGCGCAGGCCTGAGCCCCAGCGGAGATGACACCGGAGTCCTCAAGCACCTGGCCTGTTACTCCAACATCTCAAAGACGTGTTACCAGTCCCTATTTCTGGAGGGATTACTCTGAATTGAGCCATCTCTAAGACTGCAAGGTCTTGCCGTTTTTTATCAGAACTGTTCTGTTTAATTCATGAATTGAATAGTTAAGCATTACCTTTCTACATTCCAGAAGAGCTTTTCTTTCTCTCTCTCTCTTTCTCTCCCCTCCGCCCTCCTAAGTTGTATCAAAGCCTCTTTAAATTGGTGTACCCTTTTGAAGCAGTCCTTTCTCATATTGAGATGTACTGTGATTTTACTGAGGTTTCATCACAAGAAGGGAGTGTTTCTTGTGCCATTAACCATGTAGTTTATAGCATCACTAAAGGCTTGGAACAGGGCGCACACACCACATCAAAGGCTGGCCAAACTGGTAAAATCTTAAATGAAGTGTGAACGAAATCTCCCAGCTTGTGTGCTGTGTGGCTCAGAATCAAAAACAAAGAAACTTGACTTGAAAAAGATAAACAGTTTTATTTTTTTTTTCTTCTGAGACTTAAGAATAATGTGACCTGGTCTTATGCAAATTTTCTATTTCTGAAACTACTGCTATGATATATAAGTGCTGTTCAGCATAATTAAACAAAATGCTGCTGCTTTGACAGTAAAGAGAAGGAAGTATTCTGTTTAGCTGTTTCTGGTATTAATTGCATGTTAAAACACTGGAATTTTTTTTTCTTGAAATTAGATCAGTCATTTTCTTCCCTCATTTCATTGCTGACACTGAAGATGAAATGTAATTCATAACTTGCACTAAATATATATTTCTTTTCTTAAAAATTTACCATTCTTATTTATATTTTTATGGATTAAAATTTATAAAATACAGATCAGTTGCTATTGCATTTAAATAATTTTACCTTTTTAATGTGATTTTTATAGACTAATTCAGACTTACAAATATGGAGGTATGAACACAGTTTACAATGGGAGCAAGGTGTTAAGAAGAGGTGGTCACTTCTCTATGATCAGTGTGTACATAAACCATTTTCTGATCTCTCACTGCCATCCCCTGGATTATGTCTTCTGACCTGTCCATTTCGACCCACAAACTGCAAAGTTGAAAACACCACAAATTACTTAGTAGGTTCAGCCAAAAAGTTAGTGTTAACCTTTTTTAGAAAATAAAAAAAAACAAAACAATAAAATTGCAAAGATAGCAATTAAAATGCTAACCTCAGCATAACCTTTGCGTCTCTGGGTGGGTCACACTTATATTTGAAGTGTCGCCTGACGCCTTGAATAGCCACAGTGCACATTTTTGCAGAATGAGTTAAAATGTACTGGAGCTGAAGTATGTTGGGAATTTTTGGTTTTGGAAATGTCTGTTTTAATCAGTCTTCATTCACTATTGGCAAAGAAAGTTTACTCATAAGACTGACTAAATATCCTATGATTATGCATTTTTGACAGGAAAATGAATTTTTGCAAACAGACATTTTCTGGATCACAACTGGCAATGAGCCATTTTTACATTTTGAAGGTGATTCTTTTTCACGTCTTAGTTCTTAATAATAATAAACCTGTAACATCTGTATGATCCTGAAGACTGTTAAGATCATGAAGCCATATTAGGATGACTGAAAGATGAGCAAAATTTTAGGAATTTTATGAAACATTCTTAGCTGTGCTATCTGCCAACAATTCATATTTTGTCCTCATTATTTACTTCCTTTGGCAGATTTCAAGTTTTCTCCATTGCCCTTCCAAAGTTCTTTTGGCTATCCAGAGTGAAATCATTTCTAAATGATAGTTCTGTATCTCTTCAGTTTTATTTGTGTATTTGCAAGTATGCACACATGGCACTGTTAAAGAGTAGGAATTCCTCAGCATGGCTGATGGATAATTTAAATGCTTGTCCTGAGTTACAGGTCTTCAAAGGAGAAACCAGTTTCTTTGCAGGTACTTTCATACATTAAAATGCACATGGATTTTGTTTCCCATTTCCTTATTAATTTCAGACTCTCATTACCCATTTTGGTTCAGAGACGGACATTGCAGGGTTTGTCTTTTAAAGTATAAATTTTTTCTTTGGTATATTTCTCTCTGTAATGTGTCTTACTGCTGATACACAGAAAAAGTGCCGTTTTTTAATGCATTGAGAGATTTTTCTTTGGTATTGCAATCTCTTCCATTTTTCTTTTCAATACATTGAGGTTTGTCTGCTTTTCAACCAAATGATGAAATACTGGAGACCATGAAATATATGTGCCTCACTAATTGGCAAACTAATTGACCAATAATTGTAGCGCCTTATTTGAGTACCCTTTTTGAGAAGGTATGATGAGAATGGGCAAGGGTGTCAGCATTTCTTCTTATTAATAATTGTTTTCAGTTTTGGTTCATGAAGAATGCTTAGTTTGTTAATCTGTGATGTTGCCTAGAGCTGTATTTATCTGTTTTTATTTATACTAGTGTAGTAAAGCTGCATATCATTACAGTAAAAATGATTACTGTGATGAGTTAATCATAAAATTCTATTAAAATATATATGACAATGTGTGGTTTGACCTTTAATTACACCTATAGCAGTCCCCCTTCTGTACTGCTTCACCCAGTGGAGTATAGACCAATATGCCTGGCATAAGCAGCCAGCCTCAGAAGTGTGACGATTAGAAACTGCTTTCAGGAGAAAAGCCATTTCTGTACTTTGTAAGCAAAAAGCCAGAGAAGGAAGAGTAGATATTGGATTTACATACAGTTAGCAACAGGATGGTAACTAACCTCAGTTGTCAGGTAAATGTCATTCCCTATCTTTAGGTTTTTGCTCAACTGTTCTTATCCCTGGAGCCTTCACTGATCAACCTCTAAAAGTGTGGTGTGTACATGCACACACTTTCATTCTGTTATTCTCCATTAGAAAAACTCTTACTAAGGATGGGCATTTTTGCCTGATTTTGTACACTTACAGTGTGTGACACCAGAAATCATTTTTTAAAAATTTGTTTAATGTATTTATCACCATGTGACATACAATAGATTTCTTACTGGGAACATAAACTTCAAGAACATAGAATAGTCTAAAATACATTAAGTTCAATAAATAGTGGATGAACAAATAAATGAATGATAAAAGATCTACCCCAGACTTTTAGTGTTTTCCTTTTTACTAAAAGTTTAATATCAAAGACTGACATTTCATTCAAATGTTTCTTACCACCCCCTTCTAAAGCAGTTCCATTAGAACTTTTCTAAAGTAATTTTTTTTAAGATTGTCTGTCATTTAACCTGTTTTCCTCTTCATGCATATAATTTTTCTTCTAAAAACATCACGTTTTTGGGCCAGGTGCAGAGGCTCATTTCTATAATGCCAGCTACTCAGGAGGTAGAGACTGGGACAACAGTGGTTCAAGGCCCCATCTCACCCAATAAGCCTGGTGTGATGGCATGCACCTGTTATCAGGACCATGTTCTGAGGTGGCCCAGGCAAAAAACACAAAACCTGATTGAAAAAATAAAGCAAACAAAAAGGGTTGTTGGTGTGGCTCAAGTGATAGAGCACCTGCCTATTAAGCACCTGAGTTCAAACACCAGTACTGCCAAAAACCAACAAAAATCATTCTTAAAAATGAACTTTCAGAAAAAATGTTCAAGAAGAGAAAATACCATATACCAACATCCTGCAGTAGACTATTCAGCCAGGTTCAAGGAACACCAAGTCAGTCACTGGCTGGAAGAATGGTAAGAGGGAAAAGGGATGATAAGGAAAAGATAGGGGAGGGAGTAGTTTGACAATTCTAGATAAAAGGGGAAGTCAGGCAGAAAAGTGACATAATCTGATTTAAAATGATCTGACTCCATTGTTGAGACTAGATCATAAGAAGGCAGAGATGGAAGCAAAAAGACCATTAGCAGGCTCTTCAGATAATCCAGGTGAAATGCAGTAGAGGTTTGAACCTGACTAAAGCTGGCATAGGTGGTGCAGACAGAATGTTAATGGATTAATAAAGAATGTGTAAGTGAGGGGTCAAGGATTTGTCCAAGGGTTTTACTCAGTAATGACAAGAACAGTGGACTAGCCAAGGACTGAGTTGGGAAAGACTTCAAGAATAGGTTAGTAAGTATATAAAGAGCCATTTTTGTCTTCAACCTTGTTTTAAATGCCTTTTAGATGTCCAAGTGGGGATATTAAGTAGGCATTAGCATATGAGAATCAGGTTCAGGAGAAAAGTTCAGACTAAGAATTGAACAGGGGAGGTATTTTCCTGAGTTGGGTTGAGATTACAGGGACTTAAAATATGGATAGAAAAAAGATGCAAGGATTGATTGGGTGTTGACAACTGCCAATAGTAGTGCCATTAAAGGAAGAATAGAGAATCTCAAGGTACAGCTGATGGAGAAAATGAGGGCTGAAAGTTAACCAAGGAGAACATGACTGATGACTGACCAGAGCAGGCTCAGTGGGATGATGGCAAGCAACAGCCTAACTGAAATAGGTTTGACAAGAAATTGGCAGAAGAATTGAAGAAGCTGTTAAAATTCGTCCTGTGAGGTATTCAGAAAAGGAAATATATATATATATATATATAGAAATAGGAAGCATCTCAGAAGCTAAACAAATGTGAAGAGAAAAACTTTCAAATTTATATATAAATTTGGCTGAGAGTTCTAACAAATAGAGATGATGTAGGAGTGATTATAATGATGGGGAATTGAACCTAAAGGCTGGGTAAGAAAGAAGCAAGAATGGTGTGGGTAGAATGAAGTGACTAGGTAATTATAAATTATAGTAAGATTGAGAAATTAATGGAGTACTAGAGGAAAAAAGATGGAAAGGGGTGATAATTATAGGTTTCTTTGGATTTGGATTAGGGAGGTTTTCATTACTGATACTAACAAGGTACTGGTTTCTCAAACCCTAGTCTAAATCACTGAAACAGAGTAAGTCAGGGAACTGAGGGATCAGATTGAAAGGATCATCACATCAATATTAACAGCAATTATAATCCTAGTTTGGACAGAATGACATTAAACCAGTATGATCAATATTTGAGCTAGTGTGAGGGTCTTACATCATTGCTGAGTAGTTTAACGTCTCCCAGATCATTTTATATCTTTCGTTGTTTCTTGGATGTATTATTCCATGTATATTTGAAAGGTCATATAGAAATTCCACTATTGAGCTACAAGAGGCTAACTTGTAATGATTTTCTGTGAAGTTCTCATTGAGTCAAGGTGCTTTATTCATAAAGAAGCTTAGGCACTTGTGTTCTATAGCCCGGGTGACCACATCCTAGGTACTTAGTAAAGTAAGTTTAAAGGGACTATGTCTTTTGAGAAGGAAAAGGGTAAGAAAGGGAGGTTTGGTATTTACGGTAGGGGGCTTGCTCTTTAAGAAAAATGTCCAGTAGTTGGAAGATCAGTACCTCCACATCTTCTGAAACATGTTATTAGCATGCTACTAGCCCTCTGACACAACTGCTTAGATTTTGAGACTAGAAGTCCTATTTGCTGTTATCTCAACTCCCTCCAGAAACCCTATTCTCAAATATACTATCCAGATTACAATTGTCATATACATTTTTTATTTTGGGTGGGGGCAGGACTGGGGATCAAACCCAGGGCTTTATGTATAGCCAGCTGCTCTCTACCACTGATCCACATCTCTAGCACCATAACTGCCATATTCTTGCCATTAGTGTCTCATTTCTATCTTGGCTCTGATGTACCCAACTCTTGGAAGATACACATTCATGCTAGGTTTGTGTAAGACATGGATGAAAACCTGATCCTTTCATTTGTTCCTTGATAAATCATTTTGGAATTATTTAATAACCAAGCATTAAAAATTTTACACACTATACATTTAAGATTGTTGGATCACTAAACAGCAAAGTTAAAGGAAATTTCTAATTAGTCTGGTATTTCTAGCTAACTTCATGGAAGATACTTGAATTTGAATAATCAGTATTTTATAAACATGTTTGGGGGCAGTATTTAGAAATAGGAAGCATCTCAGAAGCTAAACAAATGTGAAGAGAAAAACTTTCAAGAGGTTCTACAGTGTGAGATTCAAAATTAAGGGGACTTGGTCATTTGTTTTTTGGCCTAATCGTTAAGTGCTGTCTTTAACAGTGTACTCATACCTTGCATTTTATAAAGTACCTCAATTCTGTTTTAAGGAGATAGCTGACAGAGTAAGAACTCTGGAGAATTACTAACCATTCAACAAATGTCTTTTGTTAAGTCACAGGGGGTTAAGCCAGATGACCTGAGTGCTTTTCTATCTTGAATTTCTTATGAAGGTGAAAATGCTTATAGGGTCTTTGGCCCCATTGACAATTTTTGTTTGTTTGTATGTCATTGTTTGCTCTTAACTTTTAAGGTGAAGGGTATCTTGTCAAGTTAAGGGAGAATCTGAATCTGGTAAATCACACATATCTGATGATTTGTACTAAAAACTCAATGATATTCAGCAGAAAACTAAGATCTAAACCAATGGCATACAGCTAATGTATTATACTACTATTTACTGTATCAATATACTATATTGTATTAATTGGTAAATCACAGACTCCGAGTCAAAAGAATTGTTTTAGACAATAGCTAATTGGATAACTGGACTACTTATTGGTAAAATACATCTGATTCATCTGGTGATACCATAAAATGCAGTTCTGGTAGGCCTGGGTCGGTATTTTGCAAATACTGGTTACAATGTCATAAGTTTCCATGTAAGCTTACCTGTCCTGTGTCTCTCTCACTCCCATAAAGCCAGTCCTTTAAGCCATATCTGTTATTAACTCAAGACTCAGAAGAAACAAATTCTTAATTGTTCATACAATAAATACAGATGAGCATTCCTTATGTGAAATTCTTGGGACCAGACGTGTTTCAGATTTCAGGTTTTTGATTTTGGAATATTTGCACAGTCTTCACCACTTGAGCATTCCTAATCCAAAATCCAAAAATTATTCCAGCATTATGGTAGCACTCAAAAGTTTCACATTTGGGAATTCTGGATTAGGGATACTAACCTTTATAGAAAGAGAGAACTCCCTGGGAGGAGATAATAGTATAGTTATCCAAAGGCACTTGAGAGTGACTTCCTGTGACATTCACAGGGTGATTTTAGTTGTCTTCCAAAATGCAGGGTATCAACCAATTAGATGATTTAACTGTCATTTATTCGCACAAGAAAGGTCAGAGGAGCCTTATGAAAGTTTTTAGTAAATGTTTCCATCTGTTTATTTATTCTATTCTTTAAAAAAAAAACCAAACAAGTTTGATACTAACATTTTAAAATATTGTACACCAAACAAAGCAAACTCATCCTGCAAGTTGGTCTGTGCTCTCTTTATTTCTGTTTGCTAGATGATCTTCAATGATTTCTGCAAAGAGATTCCTCTTCAACAGATTATATGCAAGAGGTAAAAGCTGGCCAGCAACTTTATGAAAATACTGAAAGAAGAATATAACATTAAACAGAATACAGCAGATGCCCTATTAGGAGAAAATACATTGAAAAGGTCTTTGTTTAACAAAGCCTACTTCCAAAACTGTTTAGCTACTTTCTCAATTAATGAACAGTGAATTTGGGACAGGCACCTGGTATTCTGTTCAAGAAGGAATCCTGCATCTCTAAAGGACTAATGGCATACCTTGATGGAAATTCAGAAGATAATAAAAATTAAAATGTTAAGCTTCCCTTGTCCCTTAAGTTTTATCAACTTTATTTATTCCAAACTATGCCTTCAAATACATTGTCTTTCTCTTCAGTACGTTCCCACCAGTTAAGATATTAAGCTTTATTTTCCTTGTAGATCTCATAAGAATATGTATGCTGAATGTATGGTCTCAAATCACCATCACTCTACTCAATCCTTAAATTTATTCATTCTCTCGGCCCCTACCACATAACCACTTTCTTCCTGTTAAGAGTTACAGCCTTAAATTTTACAGTGCTATTATATATCTACTAGTTTTAAAAACCCAGTTCTTTGGTTAATAAATAGAAAGCATTCATTCAGCATGTGGTTAAGTGCTGTGCTAAACCTTTTCATTACTCATACAGAAACCTCACAATCAAGTTTGCTATTTAGCTGGTTCACATCTTACAGCTCTATTTATGGCAATGGTCCTTTCTGGCAGAGTAAGCCAGTCCTGACTGGTCAAGGACTGTGTCATTTTGGCTTTTAAACTCTTCAAATATTTTACTGATAACAACCATACTTGAAGGAGGCAGAGAAAGGCAGTGTAATATGGTTTACAGTGAGTCTCTAAGAATGTACCATCTTGACTAATGGCATTAATATTATATTGTAAATGCAAATTCTCAGGACCCACCCAAGAACTCAAACTTAGAGGAGGTGGAGGAGCACCAATCTGCTTTGGAATAAGCCCTACAGATGATTTTGATGCCTGCTAAAGTTAGTGAGCTACTAGTTACTCTTGTTCATCAGCATGGTCTGTAAACTAGCAACATTACCATCACCTGAGAGCATGTCAGAAATAAATGTGCAGTGTTAAGTCTCATCACAGACCTACTGAAATAAGTTTGCATTTCAACAATAGCCCCAAGTGATTCCTGCACACTTTACAGTTTGGGAATTACTGACTTAAGACAGTGAGACTACAACCAGATTACCTGCGTGAACCTGGGCAAGATGCTCTGCCTCTCTGTTACTTGGTTACAACGTAGCTTAGATGAAAATTAGTCTTTGAGTGTGTACACATGAGTGGACATATTTTACAGGTAAGGAAATAAATGCAAAAGGTGTTGGAAAAGCTCCCTAATCTTTCATAGGTGGGGAAGATCAGATTTAAAAACCAACTTAGTCCAGAAGCATGTTCTAGCCACTGTACCTTAGTGCCTTTTGACCTTGAGGAAACAACAGTTAAGTAAGCACTAGTGCAGCTCCTAAGAAAATTTTTCTCATTTAAGGAGCAAATAATGACAAACTACCATCCCCTAGGTTCTAATTTAAAGCATATTTATCTAAGAATTCAAGCACAATAGCAGATAACCCCAACCACAACAGAAGTAACATGAAACCAAAGAATGGTTGTATACATACCCACATACACATGCATCAACACACACATCCCAAACTAAACTGCATACCTCTATCATGTCTAATAGATGCACTTTCATGTAAACCTAAAGGAAATAATCTTGGTTATTCACTTTTGCCAGAAGACAAGATAGACTTCAAATATATATTCTCAGAATCATCTACTTAAAAATCACTTCAAAAAGTTCACTTCAAAATACAAGGTGGATCCATATCCTGCCTGTTCCCTGCGATGTGTGTCTGTATGTGGTAGTAGGTGTGGTTTTTGTTTTTACTCACGTGTGAACCATAGCAAAAGAGGTCCATTCCCAATTCAAGCCCCATGCCATAATCACATTCATCATTAGCAAATTGCACAAAAGTCATCATTTCCTGAATGGGAGCAAATGCTTTTAGTCTCTCCTCATCACTTGCAGCCTCAACAATTCTTTTGCAAATTCTCTTAAGATCAGCTGAAAGAAACCAATGATATACAAAGATCATCTATTACAATTAGATCATCTAATTGTAATAATTAACCTGTAAAGGTTAAAACATTCTAAGTGGGGTTTTTCCTAATATGTCTTTGTACTTGTTCAATTCACGAATCTGCCATGCTATAATTTAGAAGGGTAACTTCATAATTTTTCTACTTAGCATTTAAAAAAACGGTTTAATGGAAAATATTTCTTGAGCCAGGTGTTGGCAGCTCATACCTGTAAGTCTAGATACTTGAGTGGCTGAGACTGGGAGGACTGTGGTTCCAGGCCACCTTGGTAAGACTCCATCTCAATGCAAAAAAGGTGGACATGGTGTGTGTGTCTGTCATCCAGCGATTGCAGGAAGCTTAAAATAGGAGGATCAGGATCCAGGTCAGCATTAGCAAAAAGCAAGACCATATCTCCAAAATAACTACAGCAAAAAGGGCTCATGGCGTGACTCAAATGGTAGAGTGCCAGCCTAACAAGCACAAAGCCTGGAGTGACAACTCCAGTACCACAAAAAAACAAAAAACAACAATCAAAAAAAACCCAAAGATTTATGTTTGCAAAGTGTGACTATTTTACCATGGAGTTAATTGCAATCATAATTTTTTCTCTTCCTTGAGACAGGATATCACTATGTAGCCCAGGCTGGCTTTGAACTCAAGATCCTCCTGCTTCAGTCTCCTGAATACCGCAAATCATGATTTCATATAAGCTTTCAAAAATATTCAGTACGCTAATCCAGGAATAGGCAAATTGTGGCAAAGCCTGGCTTGCCTCATTTCTAACTGCCCTCAAAATAGGAATGTTTTTGCCTTTTTAAGAGGTTAGAAAATAAATAGGCAGCAGATAATGTATGTAGCCCACATAATGTAAAACATTTGCTGTATGGCCCAATACAGAAAGTGTGCAACCTCTTGACTAATTCATGACTATGTTAGAAGTTGGATTAAAACAAAGATCCAAACAGACAATAAGATGTACTCTTTTCTTTGCCCTGTCCTACTTTACCAAAAAATCCCTAGTTTTTTGTGATTAAAAAGACAACAATGTAAAAATCATTGCAGCATTAAACCTTTACTGAAACGATTTTAAATTTTATGTCTGTATTCTAACTACAAATATAAGGCATGTGATTATCAAGGATGGAAAAGATGTATTAGGATGTTTAACCTTAGACTATGAGTATCATTTGATTGATTCCACGGATGGCCATGCAGAATATATGCTGTTAAGTCTGGTTCCAAATTATGTTTTGTCCCCCTTCCCACCTTTGATAGTATCACACTGAACAAACAACAACCTTGACCCCTATGTTCCTAACTATTAATGGTAGTGATATATTTATTGGTTTGAAATCTACAAGCTAAGTAATTTTAAGTAAGCTTCATGACCTTTTCTACTTCAGAAAACTTAGTGTCATTTCTAGGAAACAAATGAGGTTCCCTCCAAAATTCTTTTTATTTCTTTTTTAGCTGACTTAATTAATGCTTTTTTCTTTTATTTTATCGTTTTTACATTTACTTACATGTGTACATATTATTTGGGCCACCTTCCCTCTCCATACCCCCTTCCAGGTAGAACCTATTCCGCCCTCTTGTTCTCCAGTTTTGTTGAAAACATAAGAGATAATAAAAAAGACATAGCGTTTTTGCTAATTTGAGATAAAGGCAGCTATACAGAGAGACTCCCAGTTGTTTTCATGCACATGTGTATTGCAACCCACTGGTTCATCTTTACCAGACTTCACCACTACTTTTGAGTCCCTTTCCCATAGTGGCCTCAGCCAGTTTAAGATTACTATATTCACTCCTCTACAGTGAGCACATCCACCACATTCAAGTTTTAAGTCTTCTTCCCTTTCCCTATTCCTCCCATGCACGTTCTCCTGTTAGTGTGTGAACCATGTCCAATAATATTACTGCATTTGTTTTAGTTCTATAATCTGCATATGAGAGAGAATATGTGATTTTTGGCCTTCTGAGACTGGCTGACTTAAGATGATGTTCTCCTGTCCCATCCATGTACCTGCGAATTAAAAACTTTCATTCTTTGTGGCTGAGCAAATTCCACTGTGTATAAATACTACAGTTTCTTAATCCATTTGTCAGTAATGGGGCATCTTGGCTGTTTCCATAGCTTGGCTATTGTGAATAGTGCTGCAATAAACATGGGTGTGCAGGTGCCTTTGTAATAACCTGAGTCGCATTCCTTCAGGTACATCCCTAGGAGTGGTATTGCTGGATCATATGGGAGATCTATGTTTAGTTTAAGAAGCCTCCACATTGTTTTCCAAACTGGTTGTACTAGCTTACATTCCCACCAGCAGTGTATGAGGGTTCCTTTTTCCCCACATCCTCGCCAATATTTGTTGGCGGTGTTCTTGATGCTAGCTATTCTAACAGGAGTGAGGTGGAATCTTAGTGTGGTTGATTTGCATTTCCTTTATGGCCAGGGATGGCGAACATTTTTTCATGTGTTTTTTGGCCATTTGGACTTCTTCCTTTGAAAAAGTTGTTTAGTTCAGTTGCCCACTCCTTTCATGGTTCATTGATTTTTGAGGAGTTTAGGTTTTTGAGCTCCCTGTATATTCTGCTTATCAGTCCCTTATCTGATGTATAACTAGCAAAGACTTCCTCCCACTCTATGTGTGGTCTCTTCAATTTACAGACCATTTCTTTTGTTGTGTAGAACCTTTTTAATTTCATATAGTCCCATTTGTCCATCCTTTGTCTTAGTTGCTGGGCTGTTGGAGTTCTACTGAGGAAGTCCTTGCCTATACCTACTGCTTCCAGAGTATTCCCTGCTCTTTCATGTACTAACTTCAGAGTTTCGGGTCTGATATTAAAGTCCTTAATCCTTTTTGAGTTGACACCAGCACAGGGTGACAGGCAGGGATAGGGATCTAATTTCACTTTTCCCAGAAATATTTGTTGATGAGACTGTCTTTTCTCCATCGTATGTTTCTGGCACCTCTGTCAAAACTAAGGTGGGCATAGCTGTGTGGATTCATATCTGGGTCCTCTATTCTGTTCCACTGGTCTTCATGTCTATTTTTGTACCAGTACCATGTTGTTTTTATTGCTATAGCTCTGTAGTATAGTTTGAAGTCAGGTATTGTGATACCTCCAATATTGCTCTTTTGTTGAGTATTGCCTTAGCTATTTGCAGTCTTTTGTGTATCCAAATGAACTTTAAGGTAGATTTTTCAATCTCTGTGAAGAATGTCATTGGGATTTTGATGGGAATTTCATTGAACATGTAGATTGCTTTTAGTAGTATAGCCATTTTTACTATGTTGATTCTACCAATCCATGAGCACGGGAGATCTTTCCACCAACTGTAGTCTTCCTCAATCTCTTTCTTCAGTGGTTTGTAGTTCTCCTTGTAGAGGTCATTTACATCCTTTGTTAAGTTTATGCGTAGGTATCTGATTTTTCGTTGAGGCTATTGTAAATGGCATTGTTTTTCTATATTATTTCTCAATTTGTTCATTGTTGGTGTACAGAAAGGCTACTGATTTTTGTAAGTTGATTTTGTATCCAGCTACATTGCTGAAGCTGTTTATGGTTGTCTAGGAGTTTCTGGGTGGAGTTTTTTGATCTTTGAGGTATGGTAATCCTCCTTCCTTAAGGGTAGAAAATAAGTGGTTCCTTCCTACACCCACAGGTAATTGATTGGGACCCTTAGAATCTTACCACAATGCTCTAGGCAGTCACTACAAATCAGTTAGGGTTGGTAGGGAAGTAAAGACCTAAGGAGTTGTGTAAGGATTACATTATTATGTTTTATACAGCACTTGATCCATGTGCTATATACATGACATTTAAGAATTGCTCAACAAATGGTATCTTATTTGCCTGGTTAAAAAATTTGGTCAAGATCACATAGCTATGAATCCAGTTTTAACTCAGGCATTACTGGCTAAACCAGACTTTGCTCTTAACAACTACTTATTTCTCAACATAAGGAAAACCTTCCTCCAAATGTACTAACATGCACATGCTTACATATGAAAAATATTTACCATCTGTTTCAGGGAGCTCTCTGTATCCAACATCATTTTTATCTACTGGGACAACCAAGCCTGCACCATGAAAGGTCTTTGTCACAACCTACATTAATGAGAAAAATAAATAAAATTACGGTAAAAAGACCAAATGAAACTAACTCTTCACCCTCGGAAAAAGAACACACTACACACAACCTGAACATTTCTGCTAAAACATTCAATGACATTTCAGTGAATTTGGACACTGTGCTAAAAATTTAATTCTATTTCTTTCCTTTAAAATTAGATAAAAAACAAGAACTTGAAGTAATTATAAAACAGTGAAATTAGTAGCTTTTATTAATCGTGCTAGTAATTGAGAAGTCTGTATCCTCATTAGGGAAGAATCCCCGTGCTTCCTGTTACCAGAAGTAAGTCAGAATATCAGCATCCTCTACGGTCAAAGCATTTTCTCGGCAGAGCATAAGAACCTGGGTCTAAAAAGAAGATGGATTTTTTTTTTTAAGCAGAAAAGACAGAATTATTCTTACCTGTCTGCCAAACTCAGACCCTATTTGTACCTGCAACATGTAGGTTTGTTTATAAACTTCCCAAAGTTATGACAGTTTCTAAGTATGTGATACCCTTTACAGGCAAATTATATAACCCATTTGCTTTTATTGGATAGTTTTCTTTAAAGACAAAAAAAGACCCAGCTACAACCACCGCCACAATCTTTCCAATCAACATTCTTCCTTTTATTCACACTACTGACATTATTTTTTAGGCTTTTTTTCCTTTTCTTTTGTTTTTTTGAGACTGGGCTACTTGTTGTATAGTCCAGGTTGGCCTCAAACTCACCATCTTCCTACCTCAGCCTCCTGAGTGCTGGAATTATAGGTATATACCACCATGCCTAGCCTAGGTCTTTTTTTTTTTTTTTTAATACTGCGGATTGAACCTAGGGTCTTAAACTCTATTGCTTGAGCTAAGCCCCCAGCTTTTTGTTTTTATATTATTTTTTAGATAGGATCTCCCTAACTGTCCCTAGGCTGGCTTTGAACTCTCAATCTTCTTGCTTCCGCCTCCTTAGTCGTTAGGATTACAGGCATGAACCACCATTTTTGGCTCCTGGGTATTTTCTTAATAAAACATCTGCTACAATATTCCACTTATTCATGTAGTCCAATGAAAGCTTCCAGGATAAAAGAAAGACACAGTCTAAAAATAATCTAATTCTCAAGTTTTCTCACATAAATCTCTGGTATCTTAAAACTTACTTCACTCATCTCCCACTACTCTTCTGCTTCTTTATCTTTTGACAGGAAGGACAGATTATTTAAATGAAGTTTTTAGACAATTACCCACTATTTGGAAAAAAAATGAAGTTATAACTTAATTTCTTAATCTTTATACTAAAATAATTTCTTGTTGGACTTCAGGATTGAATGTAAAAACAAAACTATAAGCAAACTACTAAAAAGCAAATTTCTTTTATAATTTTGTACTGGAGAAAAAGACAGAGTTTACTGTTTAAAAAAACTATGAAATAAAAATTAAGAACAACTGGGTGTGATTTGTATGCCTATAATCCCACTACTCAGCAGGCTGAGGCAGGAGGCTTGAGAGTTCAAGGCCAGCCTTGGCAACCTAGCGAGATTCTGTCTCAGAAACAAAACAAAAACTAAGACAAATAACTTATGAACATTATGTAATCCTCTCTTAAGAGACGATTACAAATAAAGGAAAAGACTAACAAAAGACAAGTAAGAGTAAGAATACTCCTAATCCTGATAGAAAAATGGCCAAAGTTCAGGTCACAAATGAAATAAAAATATTCAAGAGACGTGAGAAACATTTCTTTTATAAAAGAAATGCAATTTAAACACATGTCATTTTATACCTATCAGCACGGACAGAACTAAAAGGACGGAAAAACATTCCACAAAATTAGAAATAAGTAAGGGAAGCTAGACTCACAATCTATAGAAGCTAAGTCTTTAGTAAAGACAAATTAAAATAATAAAGCCAGAATTGATACCCTTCATTTAGCCTTCCTAAAAAAGGTAAAAATGGCAATATTAAAATATTAGTTAAAAAATGCTGTATTGTAAAGAGTCTCGTTAAATTATGTACTTTTTAGAAATTATTTCTGGTTTTTAGGAGTATAGAAAGAACAGTTAAGATGACAATTCAGTCTACAGCTCATCAGATATCACCACTGCAGTTGAATCAAGATTAGAGAAGGAAGCTGGGTGCTGATGGCTTACGCCTATAATCCTAGTAGCTTGAGAGGCTGAGATTGGAAGGATGGCAGTTCAAGGCTAGTCCCAGCAAAAGTTTCACAAGATCCCATCTCAACCAATACCTGGGTACAGTGGTGTACATCTATCTATCACACCAGCTATGTGGGAGGCTAATATCAGGAGGATGGTGGTTCCAAGACAGTCTGTAGGAGACGCCATTTCAATGGAAAAAAACTGGGCATAGTGGCATTTTCCTGTCATGTCACCCACAGCAGGAAGCCTTAAATAGGACTGTGGTAGTCTAACGTAGCCCAGGCAAAAAAGTGAGACCCAATTTCGAAAAAGGGCCGGAGGCCTTGGCTAAACTGGTAGATCACCTGCCTAGCAAGTGTGAAGCCGTGAGTTCAAATCCCAGTACTGCCAAAAAAAGAAAAAGATCAGAGGAGGATCTTCAACACTTAAAGTACACTAAGGTACTTGTCACCAGTATTAGTTTATTCAGGAATAACAAGTACTTCATTTGCTTTAGCTGAGAATGTTCACACAAATGTGAAAGGCTGGAGAATGACAAGTTCTCATTCCAGTGATAAATGTCCTTCCACAACATACTCATTTCTACCAAAGCAGAATTCTTCAATTTACATTAGCTTAGTCTGAAAAATCCAAAAGTACTTGTTCCTTTACAAAACACTGCAGGCACACCCATGTTTATTGCAGCACTATTCACAATAGCCAAGTTATGGAAACAGCCAAGATGCCCCACTACTGAAGAATGGATCAAGAAAATGTGGTATCTATACACAATGGAATTTTATGCAGCCATGAAGAAGAATGAAATGTTATCATTCTGGGAAATGGATGGAATTGGAGAACATCATTCTGAGTGAGGTTAGCCTGGCCCAAAAGACCAAAAATGTATGTTCTCCCTCATATGCAGACATTAGATCAAGGGCAAACACAACAAGGGGATTGGACTTTGATCACATGATAAAACGAGCACACAAGGGAGATATGAGGATAGGTAAGACACCTAAAAAATTAGCTAGCATTTGTTGCCCTCAACGCAGAGAAACTAAAGCAGATACATTAAAAGCAACTGAGGCCAATAGGAGAAGGGGACCAGGAACTAGAGAAAAGGTTAGATCAAGAAGAATTAACCTAGAAGGTAACACACACGCACAGGAAATTAATATGAGTCAACTCCCTGTATAGCTATCCTTATCTCAACCAGCAAAAACCCTTGTTCCTTCCTATTATTGCTCAGGCTCTCTCTTCAACAAAATTAGAGACAAGGGCAAAATAGTTTCTGCCGGGTATGGAGGGGGTGGGGAGAAGAGGAAAGGGGTGGGTGGGTGGTAAGGGAGGGGATGGGGGGGGGGGGGGAGAAATGACCCAAGCATTGTATGCACATATGAATTAAAAAAAAAAAACAAAAAACACTGCAGGCATTTGGAGATACAAAAGGAAATGTTAACAGGATCACTAAGGAAAAGGAAGGACTGCTTATACACATTTACTGGAAAAAAGTAACAAATCCTAAATGTGCACTGTCTCTTACAAGGGACTACCTTTGAAGTTCTTAACTAAGTCATTCTTAAGTGATTTTTACAAAACTAACCCCACCCCAAAACACCTGGCACTAAATCAACAGACCTCAGCCATTAAAGAAGGAAATTAAGTAAATATCATGTACAAAGGTGCTTTCACTTAACCTTATGAATGATTCACTGATACAACAACAATAAAAGACTAGGAACTCTGGCATGAGTTATGCAACCACAGCAGCAATCTCCCTAGTTATAGGACTTGGCCTGCTGCTGCCAACCTGCAAGAGCCACCCTGCTCCAGTTCTGTCCTGGAGACCCAAGCACTGGATACTCCCAAAGGGCCCCCTGAGGAATGGCATCCAGATCTTAGGATAGGGTTAGAAAATAAGGTGCAGATGGAGAAGAATTAAGAGCAAAAAATATGGTAAACAGTACCACAGTCAGAGACAGACAAACTGAAATCATACTTTCTTATCTCTCTGTTTCATCTTCATGGTTCTCTGTTCCAGTGAGTACCCCAGCTTTCTGGCTGCTTCTGTGAGTTTGTCATCTATGTTTTTCAAGAGACTACTTTTCTTTTTATCTGTTACTTCTTTAATTTTTTTCATCAAAAATAATCTGAAAAAGAAGTAAAAGCCCTCATATATTGCTAGTCGCTGCATTAAGTACACAGAACTTAAGGGAGCAAAGATAAAAATGTCAAATTCTATGCAAGAAAATCAGCAAAATAATTACAAATGGTTCTCTGAAAATTCATAGTACTTTTAATCAAGCAAGGAAAAGCATTATTAATAAAAATATGCCAGTCACAGAAAAAGAAAATATGACTCAAGCTTGTATTATATATTTGTTATAGACATAAGAAAGGTAAGAGCTATTTAAAAAGCTGAGACTAAGTCAAGTTTTAAGTTGCTCTGCTAGAATATTAAGATATGGCATACTGGCATCAGAAGAGGGAAAAATAGTATGTAGACACCAAAAATGATTCTCTTAAAAGAGCAAGGGAACTCCATTATAATACTTGAAGTCAACTGATTTTTTTTTCAATGTGAACTTCAAATTTGTGTTAAGATAAATTTAGAAAATATAACAGGCAAGCAATACTATTCCATACTTGAAGTCAATTGATTCTTTTTTCAAATGTGAACTTCAAATTTGTGTTAAGATAAATTTAGAAAATGTAACAGGCAAGCAATACTGCTTTGTAAGCTTACACAAAAGCATAATCCAAATTAGTTTTTAAAAATGTGAATAGTACAATACATTAATTTCAGTTACAGAAGTAATTTTATATTTTATCAACAACAGGTTGAAGATTTTGCCAGTAGTATAGTAGGTCAAGAATAAAAAGAAAAGCTGAAAGTGGCACCAAGTTGGAGATAGAAGTCAATCCTCTTCCTCTCCAGCCAGTACCAGGAAGAAACTCACTTGTATTTGCATTTGAGGGTTTACAGTATTTACTGTTAGGATTACATGAACCACTAGTACCCAGCTTACAGTATTTACTATAACCCTGCCACTGACCTAGTACTGTAAAAGGCCTTAGAACATTTACAGTGGATATGATTTTTCCACTGCTCTTTACATATCAGGAAACTGAGGTACAAAGGATAATCAACTTACCAAGCTCAAAGAACTAGTAAGGACGGATTAAAGTGCCATAGAAACCCAAACCACCTCTTGACTGCAGCACACATGGTTATGTGAAATCTTACCTTCAATCATCATCAGCTGTATACCAAGAGAATATATTTATATTAACCATAAAAGGCAAATTTGATCATGCTAAATGTGAATCAATCTTTCTCAAGCTCTCTGGCATGGCACATAGAGCCTTCAACTACTCTGTGTCTCTTATTTGCCTACTTTCCAACACAAGGAAAGGGACTACTCCATTGCCTAAAACATCCTCTTTCCATTTTTTTCTAGTAAGGTCTTGTGTAGTAATGAAGGTCCTTTGTCACATGTTTATGACTACCTCTATGTCAGAACTACTTTTAGCTTCAAACCTACTCTCAACAATGGTATATGACTAAGTATCATGATAAGGTGCAGTGTGCAAACAAACCATAACTATGAACATTTTGTGCAGTTACATTAAGTTCATCAGAATACCTTGAACTCTGAATCTTTTACCCATATATGTTTTATAGTATCATGCAATGGTCATTTGGAACATTGGTTATGCAGATTTTCCAAATGTTGAAACTTTCATTTATATCAAATTCATGTGAGTTGATGAATTTTATTACATCAAAATCTTTCCATTATGTAACAATGTAAAAAAAAAAAATCACATTTGTTCGCATTATCATAAATCTCATTAGAAATCTTTAGGTAGTAAGAAGCTGTCAAGCTCATTATGGTGGTTATAAGTACCTCCAATTTAATTTTTGTTAGAAACCTTGAATTTTATCAGTGGCACTAAATACAATGAGTCATATTTTTGATTCGAGAAAATTTTTTGTTCTGCAAATGCCTGTGCCCAAATAACCGGGTAAAAGTTGGGAAAAATTCAAGTCATCATTCAGTCACACAACTGTCAACTTTCTTGAGATAAACCATGTCATCATACGGAATGTTAAAACAATGAACTCAATGGCATTGAAATGCAAATTGCCAGCAAAGATTAATAAAGGTAATGATAATAACCAGTGATGGTCAGGGTGTAAGAAACCTTACTAGTGTAAGTGCTACACCAGTAAGAGATCTAATACACTTAGACTCTTTCGTCACTGACATTCTTATATGGCCCTTGCATTAAATTATTGCTAATTTGTTGTCAATGCCTTGATTCCTGCCAAGATTGTCTACAGTTTTATCCACCATTACCTTTGTGCCATTGGTGCAAAACAAATTATTATGAATACTTCTGATCTTGGGTCAGAGATCATAAGCGTCCTGAGATCTTGTAAGAGATCCATGAGGTCAAAAGCACTCCCAGCTTTATTTTTACAAGGGAAAAAAAGGGGGGGGGGGGAAATCAGTCTTACCTTCGCTGGCCAAAGATAAATATTTTTAAAATCTTGAGTACACTGAGACTTTTTCCAATGTGCACTTGGCAGTATGAAATGGAAACCTTCTACAATATTCTGTTATTTGCCCTCTTCGCAACAAATATCAGTATCAGGCATTATTGCTTACGTACATTTCATATTTATCTAATTTTCCTAATGCTAGATATGCAAGATGTTTCTAACTTTTTGTTTTTCTTTAACAAACGTATTTTTTGAGAGTAGACACACCTAATTCCATTTAAAAGCTACAAGGTGACATTGCTGATGGTGTAAATGTGTACTTAGCACAATTCCTGGTAATGTTAATTACCGTCAAGCAATCTTGGAAAATGGCTGTTTAAACATTTTTTAAACTGCTCTCTACAAAGGTTTTATCACATAGCACTTACACTAGTAAGGTTTCTTATACCCTGACCATTACTGGTTATCATTACCTTTATTAATCTTTGCTGGCAATTTGCATTTCTTTAGCTAGTATTCAATCTTCCATAGAGAACTTTGTTGAGCCATACAGATAATTTGTTTGGGAGAGGGGCTACATGGCAAAACCCTTTCTCAAAAAAAATTATTTAAATAGTCTGCATTGAAAGAACTTAACTCACAATGTTATAGAAGTAAATAAACATAAAAAGAAGTTAAATGTTCTGACTAGTTGATTTAAGTAAAGGAAGGTCTTCTAAAACAAAAGTAGTTATAATATTTAAGAAGTATTAAAGCAGTTTAATTTCAAAATAGTATTTCACCCACTTGAAATAAATTATTGGAAGTAGTTCCTAAAATACTCGTTAGATTTCCTTTAAATTATAAGTAATATCACTTGTTTGTTTTTTTATTTTTCTTTTGTGTCCTCCAATAAGCTAAAAAAAAAAAAAATACCAGAACAATCTTGGATTCTTCTAGATTAAACAGTATTATGCTATCTTTTTTTAATACAAAAAATTCTATTAAGACAAGACTTGTAATACAAATTAAAAATTAGGTATTTTTAATACCAAGTATGTGTGAGATGAATAAATGACTTATGGAGCATCTACCATTCAAAGATAAAGCCTCTGTCCCCATGTTAACGCTTAAGACAGACAACAAGCAAACAATTATAATTTCTAATAAAGATGGCACCAATTTAAATCGAATGATCAATCTGACAAATGCCAAGCAACATTTTATATGAAACTCAGAGGTATTAGCAGAGAACTAAGAGGCTTTGTCTTGGACATCTACAACATAGCTGCCCTAAAGATATACCAGTATGTTTACAGCACAGACTAGTGGTTACACTAGATTAACTTGGTTAGACTTCTCTACTGCCCTTTAAAGAGAGAGGACTAAAAGAAGTCACATATAACATGTTCTACCTATTTTATTTAAAGTGATAAAGATTGCATTTTCTTCATTTTATTACAATGCAAACTGCACAACTGACATAGGGCTTTAGATCATATTTGTAGCTAATGTACTGACTGGCTCACTCAGCTCCATTCTAACCCCTTCCACATGAAAGCTTGTTGAACTTTCTTCTGCTTCTGCTCAGGTTCTGCATAGGACCTAGTTTTTCCCAAGCAGATGCAATTCTATTAAGTCTGAAAGGCAGAAGAAATACAAGGTAGCAGCTGTGCTTCTATACTTCCAAAGTGCCCTAATACAGACAGCTGAAAGTTCTGGAGCAGCTGAAACTGAGAGTTCTGGAGCAGCTGAAGATGAGAACTTAGTACGTGCTCCTTAGCTTCATGGCTGAGGCAGAAAGCAGGACATCAGTTTTACTGATATAGGCTATGTCAAAGACAGGGTGGTTCTGGAGCTCCTTATATTGATAACAGTTGATTTCCCAGCTTCCTGATGATAGCAGAGACAATCTCTATTGGTAAGCCAATTCTGCCATACAACTGTCATTCTTATAGGCTCAGCCAGTTCCTTCAACCCTTCCAAGGATTTTATTAGCACCTACTTTACTGTACTAAACCTTTCTGTTTTAACAAATATAGTAGACTTGTACATGAACTAATAATGACAGTGTTTAAAATCAGATGTCTAAAAAAAACCTTTGCTTTTGCCATAGGACACCTAAGGTCAAGATTTATATGTATTTTACTTATTTATTTATTCATTCATTCATTTCATTTTCCAGGCTTTGCCCATGGTAGGCAAGCACTCTACCACTGAGATACATACCCAAACCCAAGATCATGCAATATGTTCACTAAATGTAATATAGTTACATATTTTTTATGAAGAATAGCAAAATAGAAATGTGTAATAAGACTATGTGGAAAAGTCACAGAAATGCTCTTTAGAAAACTACAACTTTTGGGCTACCCGAATTCCGCTTTGTAATGTACTGTGAACATGTAAACAGATATTTAATTATAAACAGAATTAAAATATTTTCTTACTTGACTGCAGCAAACACATTATCTCCATTTTGAACAATTAAACAATTTTTCTTTGCTTCATTTACACCAACATATACAGGAAGCTCATCAGGAGAATCCCTGTTTTAATAGAATAAAAAATTTAGCTGCCCATAATTTATATTATTAGGCCAAGCAGAATTTTAGTTCTACAGACAATAATTTATACCTGTGAAAATTGAAATAAATTTCCAAGTTTCTTAGGAACATCTATGACATCTTATTTACATAACAAACTAATATTAAGATTCTTACTACCTACTTACTTTTATACCTAAATACAAAGAAAGGGGGAATATGCCTGCCAAGGAAGTAGAGAAAAGTATACACACTGATTGTCCCCATTTTAGAGTTTGTTAAAAAAAAAGAAAGGAAATAGTAGAAAGGACTACAAAATACTGGAGCTGAAAGAATCCTATTCATGTATATAACCAAGTCCTTTTTTAGCTTATTTTAAAATTAAGGAAACCAATACAGAGAGGTTAACATACTCTGCCAATATCCTTGTAAGTTAATGTCAAAGCCAGAAGCAGAATCTATATGACTTAATTCCCAGTTCCATGAGCACTCTTTTGTACAATACTTCTCCCTGAGCACATCTGATCTTCTCCGTTGTCTTATACTTAAACTCTGTGTTAAAGGATAACACTACTGGTACAAGTGGACAGGTCTTTTCCCCCTCACACTACTTCTACTTAACTCTCTAAGCATCTGCATGTATTCATTTAACCCTCATAATATTCCTATCAGGTATATACAATTATATCCACATTGTTTTAGAAGAAGGAACTTCATCATAGAAGGTTATAGTCACTAATGATTGACACAGGGTCACCAAGATAATAAATAGTAGTACCAGCATTTCTGAGTCCAGATCCCAGTCTTTAATAACCAGCTATCACTCTGGCATCTGGAAGCACACTGTGTATTAAGTAAGAGATGCTCTTCCCAGCTACTGCAAAAGTTAAGGTGGGAGGATAGCTCGAGCCTAGGATTTTGAAAACATCTCCAGCAACACATTGAGTCCCTGTTTCAAAACAAAATCCCCCTCATTGCTCTAACTTATATTTCTTTAGCCAAAGAAGCTCTTCTGAACCCCAAAGAGAAAAAGGTTTATAGCCACAAACAAAACACCAGTGATGTTCAACCTAAAGACTTCACCATCCTAGGGCAGGTTAAAATGGTAAAAAGTACCAAGAAAAACAGATGGCTTGTGTAAGGGGAAAATAGGCCTTTCACCTTGGTTGATGCCAGCAAATTCTACTTACACTTATTAGCAGAGTAGTAGTTTAAAGAGAAGAAAATATCCTTTACCTGAAATACCCCATGTGGTATTGAGTTTTATTATCTCCAATAATAATGGTCTGGAACTCAGGAGGATCATAGTAGAACCTCCAATGGAGATTAAAATTTAACCCTGTGAATTTTTTCTTCGACTTATGTTTTCCAGCAAGGATATCATAAGGACCCACTAAGCGAAGTCCAAGACTTGTGGAAAGTGAATCTGTAAAGAAAATAAGTTTACTTAGGCAACACTTTCTGGTGGCAAATAGAAAATAATGCCTTTTATTAGCAAATGATTTCTAAGCTATTGTCTTAAAAATGAGCTTCAAAAATTAAAAAAAAAAGTCTTCAGTCACATGTGAAGATGTCAGAAAAACTCAATGGAAAGAAATCAGAGTAACAGAAATGTGGTATTAAATTAGAATTTCCTCTTAAGTTTACCACTGAATTAGCTTAACATTTCAAATGTTTCTATTTTTCTTATTTTAGTCAAAGCAAGACTTTTGCATTCTTAGAGGCATATCAGAGCCAGAAACATTTACCTTGCCTCATTCCTACACTGCTGTCATTTTTAATTATACAGATTAAGGGAAAGATAACAGAGAGAAAAAAAAAAGTGTGGATTAAGCATGTTTTAAAGCTGGGTGCAAGTGGCTCACATCTATTATCCTAGCTACTTGGGAGGCTGAAATTGGGAGGATGGTGGTTAGAGGCCAGAGCAAATCGTTTGTCGGACTATCTCTAAAATAACTAGAACAACATGGACTGGACATGTGGGCTCAAGCAGTAGAGTGCTTACTTTGCAAGTGCAAAGCACTGAGTTCAAACTTCAATCTCACCCCCCCAAAAAAAAAAAGGTTTAATTGCTAAGCCATTGGAGTTCACAGTTATTAGCTATGCCTATATGCTCCAGTGTAATTCAGAGAAAGGACTGACAAATAGGAAGACATCAAACTAGAAAGCTTTGTGTACTCCCAGCACAATAAAAATAAATAAAAAATAAGTCTCTGCACAGCAGTCACTTAGACTGAAGATACAGCCTACAGAATGGGAGAAATCTTTGCCAGTTATACATCTAACAAGGGATATACTGCAATCTCAAAAAGCTAATGCTGGAAAGAGTCAACAATCCACTGAAGAAATGGGCAAACTGAACAGACATTTCTCAAAATTAGAAGTACAAATGGCCAATAATACATAAAGAAATTCTTAACATCCTTGGCAATAAAGGAAATTTGAATCAAAACGACACTGAGATTTCATCTTACTTTAGTGAGAATGATCATCATTAATAACATACACAACAAATGCTGGCAAGGATGTGTGGGGTTGGGGGTGGAGAACACTTCTACACTGTTGGTAGAAATATAAATTAGTGCCACCGCTATGGAAAACAGTAGGAGGTTCCTCAAAAAACTAAAACTAGAACTACCATCCAATCCAGTCACACCCCTCCTGGGCATATTCTAGCATGTGCTAGACTATGATAGAGCCACTTGTATACCCATGTTTATTGCAGCACTATTCATAATAGCTAAGCTTTCGAAACATCCCAGATGCCCCAAAACTGATGAGTGGATTAAGAAAATGTGGTATCTATACACAATGGAATTTTATGCAGCCATGAAGAACAAAATGTTATCATTCGCTGGTAAATGGATGGAATTGGAGAACATCATTCTGAGTGAGGTTAGCCTGGCCCAAAAGACCAAAAATCGTATGTTCTCCCTCATATGTGGACATTAGATCAAGGGCAAACACAACAATGGGATTGGACTTTGAGCACATGATAAAAGCGAGAGCACACAAGGGAGGGGTGAGGATAGGTAAGACACCTAAAAAACTAGCTAGCATTTGTTGCCCTTAATGCAGAGAAACTAAAGCAGATACCTTAAAGCAACTGAGGCCAATAGGAGAAGGGGACCAGGAACTAGAGAAAAGGTTAGATCAAAAAGAATTAACCTAGAAGGTAACACACATGCACAGGAAATCAATGTGAGTCAATGCCCTGTATAGCTGTCCTTATCTCAACCAGCAAAACCCCTTGTTCCTTCCTATTATGGCTTATACTCTCTCTACACAAAATTAGAGTAATAAGGTTAATAGCCTGGCATATAGCAACAACTTTCAACACTTTCTTCTACCATGAAAGATATAGTATAAACATCTTAAAAGTGAGATCATGCTGGGTTTTTGTTGTTGTTGTTGTTGTTGTGCTATGGATCAAACCTAGGGTCTTATGCATTTTAGGCAAATGCCCTATCACTGAAGTACATTCCCAGCTCCAAATCATACTATTTTTTAATCTGCCTTTTGTCCTCTGCCCTGTCCCCACTTAAGTTTCCTGAGTATTTTCTTATGCTGTTCAATGTTATTTTAAATGATTTTTAATAGAGCATGATATTCCATTATATACTGACGGACATTTACCATTTCTGATTTTTTTTTTTCTACTTTTTTCCCAGGGCCTCAGGAATGTTAGGCATGCATCCTATCACCGAGCTACATCTCCAGCTCTCACTTTTTTTTTCTATTCTAGAAATGCTAAAGAGAACATTAGCTAATAAGTGTTTATACACTTTTAGAGAAAATGCAGTTGGAAGTGTTCGGACACACACTGTGAGAATTCAGTCCGTACCAATACACATTTCCATAAGTAGTGTATGAGACTGCTTACTAGTTAAGAACTACTGTAACCCACTACCAATCTCTTGTGTAGACTTTCAGAGACTCTAAACACATGTACAGTAGCCAGAGATGTGGGTGTGTATCTGTGACTTTTTTAATACTAATAGTAGCATTAGCTATAAATACTTTTATCACTTATTTTAAGCATGATACTGAATCATTTCCTAAAACTGTCTCATTCTTTGAAAACTATGAATATCCATTAAGTAGATGTGTTATTGGTGGGCATTTAAGCCATTTTCCATTGTTTCAATAAGAATCCTTGAATATAATTCTTAGTTCACCTAGTCCATGAAACAAGTTTATAGAACAGCTAAATACCAACTCTTGCAACATGTGAAAATGCTTTTCTTTCACTCATATCAAAGAATGTCATGAAATTATTTGCCTTTGCTAGTACAGTAGGTACAATGATATATTATTATAGCATTTTTCTCTTACTATATTTCTCTTTTAAGAAACAACTTTGAAAATGGTTCTTAGTTCAGCATCTTCTTTTCCATTCATAGAAGCAGCATGATTACAGAGCAACTCACCAGCTGGGTTTTCAGGATCAAGTTCTTCACAAAACTTCCAGAAGTGATAGAAGTCTTCAGGTAAGGAAAGCTTATAATGATTTTCTATTTCATTGCGAAGATCACTCGAGACATCAGCTTCACAGAATTTACTCTTCTTTACGTCAACTGTCTTTTCACACTGAAAATTGGCATTTACAACTTTAGCTCTCCAAAAGCAATTTAATAACTTTGGTTGTATAACAATATTGCTTATTCTTATTCACTCATCTCTGGGCAATGTGTGTGTTTTCAATACTCTAACTGGTATTATTGAGTGAAAGCAATAGAAAAAGAACCAGTTTATATGGTGAGGAAGAGAGATCCACACAGCAAGTCTTTAAGTACATTTCTGCAACACAGAAAACAAAAAAGTAAAAAAGAAATGATAAAAAGCAGGAAAAGAATAAATGAAAAGCAGGTTGTCCTATTTTAGTTAACAAGATGTCACCACGCCTTTTGTTTAAATAGATTCATTGGTCACACCAGAAGCAAATTCTTAGAAACAACTGAATATAAGGGATTTATCATCAGTTAAAAAGCTGTTTCCTCAGCCAAGTCCAACCAGAGTTGGTTCTGGGCTATTCAGTATAATTATTAGAGTCCTTAACTTAAAAAGTTACGTCACTTTTGACATTCTGAATAGAAAGAGAAGGGAAGTTAGTGACAAAGGAACAATATAGTTACAAACAACACAGAATACACTAAATTCTAAGTAAAAATTCAACTATTTCAGAAAAGGTTCTTTCCCTTCCTTCTCTGCAGTATTGGAAATTGAACACAGGCCCTAATGTTTGTGCTCTACTACCCAAGCTGTGCCCCACCTTCTGGCTTTTTGTTTTCAATAGGGTCTTGGTAATTTTACTTTTTTTAGGCAGCACTGGGGTTTAAAGTCAGGGTCTCACACCTGCTAGGCAGGCACTCTTACCCCTTGAGCCCTTTTTTTTCTGATAGGCCCTTTTCGAGATAGGGTACTGCAAACTATTTGCCCAGAGCTGGCTTTAAACCACGATCCTCCTGATTTCTGCCTCCTGAGTAGCGCAGATTATAGATGTGAGCCATCAGGGCCTGGTTGCTAACTTTACTCTTGCTGTCCTTATACTGGAGATCCTCCTGCCTCCAAGTAGCTGGGATTACAAGGTGTGTGCCACCAGACCCATCTTTTACTTACTTACCTACTTTAATTATTTAGCTGTGCTGGGGACTGAACCCCGGGCCTTGCACATGCTAAGGCAAGCACTCTAGCAAGCATTCTATATCCCCAGCCTTGATAAGGCTTTTTAATAGCAGGATTATAAAAATTCATCCCTAGCATATCTGCAATATAACTGTGCTAGGTTTTATATGCCTAGTAGATAGCTATAATTATCTGTAAATATTCAAACCCCAGTCCACCCCTCCAAAAAAATCAAATTTCTGTAAAGACAATATGCTTAGCTGGAGGTTAGCTTTACCTAACTCTGTTTTCTAAGTAGCAACCTTTTTCTTTCTGGGAACCCAGATCCTTTCTTTTTTTGATTCCTCTATTTTTCCCTTCTATCTAGATCAGTATTCTCAATTCAGGTTGTCTCGTCTTCCCCTCCCCCCAAAAAAAATCTGGGACATTTCACAATGTCTGGAGACTTGTGTGTGCACTGGTAGCATCTAGTGTGGCAGGTGGCTGCTCAACAGACTTATTTGGCCCCAAATGTCAATGTTTCTAAAGTTGAGAATTCTGACCTAGATGTTTCTCGTATTTATATTCTGCCACTTTCCCAGCAGGCTCAAGTTTACTGATGTTACATTAGGTATCATTTGAAGTTTGCAAAATGTATTTATGAATCACATGAATATAAGAGTACTGTCCTAAGAGCAAAGAAAGAGAACATGCGATACAACTAGCTATGGGAGAATAAGAGCTTTCAAACAATGGAATATTACACTTAAAGGGAAAGAAGGCTACACAATGGAGACCAATCTTAATATTTAATGAAGAAAGTCTTTAAGATTATATGCAGCACGATAACCTTTCTATGAGGTTCAAAAATGAAACACTATGTATAAATTCAGGAGATAAAAGCAATAAAAGTCAAGAGAGGACTGTAAATGTGGCTCTAGGTAGGTAGAGTGCCTACTTTTCCATGTGCAAAGCCCTGTTCTCCCTGCCCCCACCCCCCCAAAAAAAGGCAAGGGAAAACACAAAACTCAGGATGGTAGCTACATTGGATAGGGGCTTCATGAAGAAGTTAGGCAGAAAGGGTAAGAGATGTAGGACTATTATCATTTCAGTTCTTGGGTTGGGCAATGGGTTCACAGATGTTAGATTATAAAATAAACAAGGAAAAAGAACCAGGAATTGACCAATGATGTTTATTGTACCAAGATTATAATGCATCTGAGGTCATGAAAAAATTTAATTGAACAAAGATTGTTGAAATGTGGATGCAAAAACAGATGTCAATAATAGCAAACAATTACAGTTAATCAAAAACAACTAAGTATGTGCACTTGTCTTGCCACTGCTCTAAGCACTTTCTATGAATTCATTTAATCCTTATATTACCTTATGAGTCATTACTATTATTCACTGAGGTTGTGTAACTTTCCCTAGGTTCCTAACATAGGAATAAGGATTTAGATGCAAGCCAGGGTTTTTTTTTTTGTTTTGTTTTGTTTTTTGGTGGTTCTGGGGTTTGAACTCAGGGCTTCCTGCTTGCTAGGCAGGTGCTGTAGCACTTGAGCCACTCTGCCAACCCTTTTTTGTATTTTCTAGATAGGATCTCACGAACTATTTGCTTGGACTGGCTTCTAACCATGATCCTTCTAATCTGCCTCCTGAGTAGCTAGGATTACAAGCTTGAGCCACTGGCACCTAGCTTTAGACAGGGTTTAACTCTGGCTCCAGAGTATAGACTACTTTTTTCTTTTTTTGGCCATACTGGGGTTCTAACTCAGGGCCTTGCACTTGAAGTGCACTCCAAAGCACAGATTTTTAACTACTTCATCAAATGCTCCAACTACAAATATGCAACATATCAATTTCTGACCTATCCTCTCTTGTTCCTGCAACTGTCTTTTGTTAGACTTTCAAAGACTGGCTTAAACTTAAGATCCTAGAAAGCCTCAGTCTGCCTTGGTGAAAGGAAGTCTTCCATAATGGTTAGGTTGCCTGGGTTGACTTCCTACTCTGATTTACAGCTATCACCTAGGGCAAGTCACTTAACCTCTCTGTGCTTTATTTTCTCATCTATAATAAAGGCATATGTAGTACCTGTGTCACAAGGGTATTATGAGAAGTAAGTTATATTTTAAAAGAAACGGAACGGTCTTAGCACATACTATATCAATTCTGGGTGTTACGGTTAGTATAGATAGTCTCTGCAGGATCATCTTCACCTTTGGTACTTTATTCCTGATTAAGGCTATTACTCTGACAAAGAAGGTTTTCACTGCATCGTCAAAGAGATTTTTCAGCTCAGCCTTAACCCACACAGTAGTTCACAATCTCCAAATCTATTATAATGACAGACAGCTGACCTCTTCAGAAACTACACTTTTACTCTGGTGTTCCTGTGAAGCATGATCCAATACGAAAAATGCTTACAACTTTGGTCCTCTAACACTTAATCACGCCTGGGAACATAGCTAGAGTAATTTTCAGCAGGTCTCATTTCTTCCATTTTCACACATGAATGCCTAACAGTTCCACCATATTCACCCCTACACCCTTTCCTCACAGCCTCCTCCCTCCCACAGGTGCCAACCCGCCCAGCCAGGACCTGTTTTTGTACAACTTTATTCACACAATGACCCTCCTTTCCTGCAAGTTCCCTTTACTCTACAGCGGTGTTCACGACTCCTGAAATCGTACCGAAGAACGAGAACGCACGTACTTTCCACGGCTCCTCACTAGTGCTTTCATGATCAGGTACTTACTTTCCCACCTCCCAGGCTCCAGCCAGGCCTCTGGCTCTTTGCGCCCCCACATCCCCTACACTTTTATATCAAGGGATCTCATGTTTCTCTTTTCTGCCTTCCAAGAACCATTTTAAATTGCCATTTTTACTGCGCGTGGGGAGGCCCGGGCTCCACCCGGGGCAGGTGCCCGTGGGGCCCCGCTGTGTCGGGTAGGCCCTCGGCGTCCATCTCCGCGGCGGGCTAAATGAATAAACCGTCGCGGCTTAACCTGGGCCAGAAGTCGGGCAACAGGTGTGAAAGCACCGCTTTCCCGGTCCAATTCCTAAAGAGCGGGGCATTGCAGCCCCCGAGCAGACCGAGACTCCCGGGCATCCAGCCGGCGCTCGGCCGGTTACGGAATGAAACGTGCCGCCCCACATGCCCTGGCTGTCCCCTACAGCGTCCCGCGGAGCCCGCACAGCCTTCCTGGAGTACCTGCTGCCCCTCCCCGCCGGGCCTGCGCTTCCCGCCGCCGACCATCCTGCAGAGGGAGGGCCCGCGGAGCCCCACGTTCCGGCGGCTTCCGAGCGCCGACGACTGCTTCCGGGTTCAAAAGCCACCAATCTCAAGGCCACAACGCTGCGAGCGCGCCAATTTAGAGAAAAGGCTCCGCCCATGCCCCGCCCCCCGCGGCGTGGAGCGGTGCCGGTCGAAGCCCCGCCCACCGCGGCCGGGCGCAGTTGACGCCTTGTGCAGCGGGCACTGTGGGCGCCAGCGGGTACCCCAGCGCCAGTCGGGGATGTTCCCCCAGGCCACCGAATGTGGGTCGGTCGAGGGGTCTAACCTTTCTTGTCAGACGGTTACTGCGGGCAAGGTTGGATCCGTGGCGCTTCCCTCACTTCAGCCCAGGTTCTTTATATTTATTTAAAAATTAATCTTTCTCCTCCATTCCTCTCCCTCCCCTACACTACTGTTGTTACGTAACACTAATTCATCCCCGGTTATCTCCCAGAAGTCAACCAGTCCTCCCTACTCTGCTCCCTTCCCTTCCCCTCCCCTCCTTTTCTTTTTTGGGGGGAACGGGGATAGACCCTGCTGGCATGCTATGCGCGGCCCCTCCCCCGACTCATTTGTTTGTATTTTGTCTCTAAAATAAAATCTCACTAACTTTGGCCAGCAGTCGAGAACTCCAGATCTCCTGGCTCTGCCTCTGGAGAGGCCGGGATTACTGTCTTATCCCATCAGGCCCGGCTGGCTTCAGGCTTTGAACCTTCTTGACTGTTTTTTTTTTTTTCTTCAAATCTGTTCTCTCTTTTATTTTTTTTCCTGTTCACCTTTTTACTCTGTCCGTGTGGCTTTTTCAACTTAATTAGACAAATCTATCAAGTTATTTTCTTTTTCTTTTATTGTACTTCAATTTTAAGTGCTCCTTTTATTCTGTTTTTTTTTGTAGCCTCATACTTTTCTCTTGGATGTATCCTTTTATCTCCAAAGACATAAATTATAAGATTTTAAAATGCTTCCTACATTAATTGTGCGTTGACTTGGATTCTCTTGAGTCTTTTTTTTTTTGGCTGGTTGGTTGCTTCTATTTAGTCTTTGGCATTTAGGCCGGAGATCTTCCTCAGTTTGTCTGGTGATCCTGCCGTCAGTTCATATGTAAAAGTCATATTCTAAAACAGTGTTTTTGGGACTTAGGCAGGACTTGTCAACTACTAGACAAGGTGTAAGATGACAGGGAAAAGGTCTAGCACACGCTGTCTTTCTCTCTCTCTGACACTTTCATTCCTATTCTCTCTCACACACACTCTTTAATGGTACAGGGATTGAAGCCAGGGCTGCATGCTTGCTAGGCAGGTTCCCTAGGCCTCCATCCCTTTTGTTTTGTAATTTGCTTTTTGAAATAGTGTTTCACTAACTTTGCCTGGGCTGACCTTGAACTCATGATTCTCTGCCCTCTGCCACCTAGTAGCTGGGATTATAGATTTGTGCGTGGCCATGTCTGGCCAGATTTCTCTAACTAGATTAGAGCTCACCATATTCCAATACGATCTCATCTTATCTTGATCATATGTTGATCACATCTGCACAGACAAGATTTCCAAATGAGGGAAATTCCACATACCTTTGGAAGGATACAACTCAACACACTTCAGTTGGGATTTTTGTGGGCATTTTTCTGTTGCCTCTTCTCTTGTTCTCTTTATTCTTTATGAGTAGGTATATGCTCCCTCCCTTTTTTTTTTAACATTTTTACTAGTATATGATAGTTACATAGGGGTTTTTATTGTGACATTTTCATATATACATATGTTATCCATCAGTTTGGCTCATCCCATCCACTAGTCTCCCTCATCTCCCATTCTCCTTCTTGAAATGGCTTTGACAGATTTCAGTGTTCCATATTGATGATACATGTATAGAAAGTACCTCAACCACATTCGCCACTCTTTACCCTATTCATTTACCTTTCCCCTGCTCCCTCCCTTCTTTTTAAAGTCATCTATAAATACTGTTTATTATTTTTGAAATTACGATAGATAAATTTTATTTTATTGAATCAATTTGGTGGCACTGAGGGTTGAACTCAGGGCCTTATGCTTAATAGGCAGGTGCTTTGCCACTTGAGCCACTCTGTCAGCTCTTTTGTGTTGGTTATTTTTGAGATAGGGTTGTGCTTTATGCCTGGGCCTACCTGGACCATTACCCTCCTATTTTTGCTTCACCTGGAGATGACAGATGCATGCCACTGCAGCCAGCCATTGGTTGAGATGGGGTCTTACTCACTTTATGTGGGCTGGCCTGGAATAGCCATCCTCCTGATCCCTGCCTCCTGGGTAGCTAGGATTACTGGCATGAGTCACCAGTGCCCAGCTAGCCTGGGACTTTTTTTTTTTTTTCCATTGTGTAGTTATTCTTGAGACCATATCTCAAAAATACCCAACACAAAGGGCTGATGGAGTGACTCAAGTCATAGAGTGCCTGGCTGGCAAGTGCAAGGCCCTGAGTTCAAACCCCAGTACCACCAAAAAAAAAAAGACAAGTTCCAGGCTAGCCTGGCCACATAGAGAGACTTCTCAAAAAATAAATCAAACAAACTAAAAAAACCCCAAAACTAAGGACCTCCATAGCCAGCGTAAAGCCCTGAGTTCAAACCCCAGTACTGCCAACAAACAAAGCAAAACAAAATAAACCATTCCTCCTTTAAGTTGTCCTAAAATTTTGTCACAGTGACAGAAAACTGAGGAACATATGGGGATGTGGCACTTTTTCCATAGAATTTAGCAACAGTGTATCATATTGGGATATGATAATAGTATTTCCTATGTAACCCTTTCTTTTTTTAATTGACAAATAAATATCTGTATACTTGTGCAGTCCAGTGGTTTGATACACAGTCATTCCTTTGTACTTGCCAGGAATTGGTTCTCATACATCCCTCCCATCCTCAGCTGCTCACGTCCCTTGTATAAAATGCTGTAGTATTTGCAAATCCTTCAGTATATTTTAAATTGTCTTTAGGTTACTTATAATTCTTAGTAAAATGTAAATGGGGTGTAAATAGTTACTTATTCTGTATCGTTTAGGGAATAATGATAAAAATAACCTATAGGTGTTCAGTGCAGATGCAATTTCTTTCTTTCTTTTTTTTTTTTGAGACTAGGGTTTGAAATCAGGACCTCACGCTTCCAAAACTGGTGCTCTACCACTTGAGCCATACCTCCAGTCCATTTTGCTCTGGTTATTTTGGAGATGGGGGGTCTCATGAACAATTTGCCTGGGCTGGCCTTGAACCGTGATCCTCCCAATCCCAGCCTCCCAAATAGCTAGAATTATAGCCGTGAGCCACAGACACTCTGTGGTTTGGTCAAGTCTGCAGATGTAGAGGCCTGTGAATATGGAGAACTGACTGTATGTCACTGCTAATGGAAGCAAGGACTAGGGCGTCACTTTTGGAGGGACCTCAACTTGCCCTCCAACGACAGGTCCTTGACTCAATCACAAGAAGAAAATTGGGATCAGTCAGATGGGAGGGGGTTATAAGCAGTTTATCAGCAAGCAAACACAAGACAGAACTCACTCAGGTAGAGTGTAAGTGTGAAAGATACGCTGTCCTGTCTGTTGGCAGAGCAGATGTGCATTTTGGGATTGTGTTCTTGAAATGTAATTTATACTGAATTTCTTTGTCGTGCCCCTCTGTCCCAGTTAACCCTCCACTTTGTCTGTTCTCATAGCACTGCTTCTGAAAGGTTTTGTTGTGGTTTCACACAGTAAGGGAGTTAAACCAAAGGTTTGTGATCATTGCTTAGCATCTGTAAGAAAAATGTTTGAAGTTGCTAAAGAGATTTTAACATGTTTTCCTTTCAAGGTCCAGTGCTTTCTTTAAGCTGTCTGCAGTTTTTGGAGGGATGTCTCTGTGTGGAGTTCGTGTGCTCTGTACAGGAATAAACATGGCATAACGCAGGAAGATTTATTTAGATATTTATAGCTGTTTAGTTATTTTCCTTTCCCCATCCTTTCTTTTTCCCTATACATTGTGGAATGATTACTCGAATCCTATTAATACATCCATCACCTCACATTTATTTTCATGCATTGAGAACATTTCAAGTCTACTCTTGTAGCAATTTTAAATGTGAAATACATTATTATTGACTGTGGTCACCATGCTGTACAATAGATCTTGAAAACTTACTCCTCCAGTTTAACTGAAACTTTGTACCTTTTCATCAGCATCTCTTTTTCCACAACCCCAAACTCTAGCCTCTAGTAATGCCCATCCTACCCCTGCTCCCTTCTCTGTCTCTGTCTCTCATTTTTTGGCAGTACTGGGGGTTGAACTCAGGAACCTCTCTACCAGTTGAGCCACACCTCTAGTCCTTTTTGCTTTTAAGTTATTTCTCAGATAGGGTCTCACATTTTTGCTAGGGATCACCCTCAGACCTTGATCTTTTATTACCTATCCTCCTACCTAGCTGGGATTATAGATATGAATTACAACACCCAGCTTGTTTATTGAGATAGGATCTCAGTAACTTTTTGCCTAGGCTGGCCTCAAACCAATCCTCTTGATCTCCAGCAAGTAGCTGGGATTGCAGGCATGAGAAGCCACTGTGCCTGGCCCTACCTATTCTACAATTTATTTGTAGTGTGATTTATTTGTAAGTCTGACATTTTTAAGATTACACATGTGAGATACTGCAATATTTATTTCCCTATTATGCTTGGCTTATTTTACTTAGCATGATCTTTTCCATCAATGTTTTCACAAATGACAGACTTTTCCTTCTTTTTAAAGACTGAATAATATTCCATTGTATATGTGTATAATACTTTGTTCATCTGTTGATGGATACTTAGTTTGAGCCTATATCCTAGTTATGAATTATGCTGCAATGAGCATGGAAGTGCAGGTGTCTCTTTGGCATAGACTTCATTTCCTATGGCTATATACACAGAAGTGGGATTGCTGGATCATTGGTAGTTTTTTTTCTAAGTTTTTGAGGAACCGCCATACTGATGTCCATATTGGCTGTACTAACTACGTTCCTGCCACCCATGTATATGGCCCTTTTTCTCCATATCCTCGCCTAACT